AGATGTCCAGTTTGCCCTTGAACAACACGGGTTTGAACGAGGCTGGTCCGCACAGGCATAGATTTTTTCCCCGAGAAGTACTGTTGGCTCCCTCACTCTTCAGGTTTTGCCTCTGCAGATTCAATCCATTGCAGGTTGAAAGCAGTGTTCCCGACCACAGAGGGAAGAGTATTCAAAACTACCGTTTTCAGTCACAGTTGGTTGAATCCACAGATGCAAAGGGCTGACTGTAAAAGTCATGTGTGGATTTTTGACTCAGTCCCTAACCCCTGATTGTTCAAGGGTGACGTGTATAAACATACTGAGAAGGGGGGAATCATGTTGTAAAGTAGTATGTTTAATCTGATTTTGTTTTTCAAAAGCAGCAAATACTTAAAAATTATATCATTTTAATAACACATCATAGCTCAGTGAGTATAGAGATGGATACAGTGCTATGTGTAATTTGCAATGAGCAGGCCCCTAAAGGAGGAAATGAGCATCACTCCTAGTCTCATCAAAATGCTTCACCATAGACTTCCTTCCAGTCTCCTTTTCTGTGCACGTGAAGGTGGGACCATATAGTGGCAGAGCACAGACTTAGTATCACATCTGTTTTTAGAGCTGGGTGGCCGTCTACAAGTTACTGTCTCTCTACACTTCAGTTTTCCCATCGGTAAATTTCCCTGCCCACAGAGCCATAGATAGGAATGCCCTGCATAGGAATATATATGCAGCTGGTACACAAAATGTATACAGAGGCAGATATAAATAAGATGCATAGGAGTATATATGCAAATGACATGCAGATGATGTGCAGAGCCAGCTATAAATGAGATGCATAAGTCTCCTTGCACAGTGCTGTGCACCTAGAAAGTTCTCAGTAAATATTAGGTTTTATTAGATAAATGTTGGTGTTGTAATACATATTCAGTTTTTCCAGCTGCTTTTTTTAAAAATGGAAAATATCAGGATCTTTTCTCCCAAACCTTAAGTATTTCTCAGAAGCATGATTATTTAATGTTTTCCTTGCATTCTGTCATATGTATCAACCATGATTTACCTTTGAACCCCCTAAAGCTGGCCATTTAGGCTTCTTAAGAGGCTTCTCACATCCTTCTCTAACAAGGGTGTGGTGAGCATGTTTTGTTTTTGTGGATCTGCCTCTCGCTGCAAACGCCTGTAGGAGGAGTTCTCAGAAGTGGAACGTTGGGTTTGTGCAGCACGTTGGCTTTTTGAGAAAACCCGCGGCCGGCGTGCCCCTCATGCTTGGCTGTGCCGGTTTCCGTCCACCACATCCTGGCCCCCGCTGGGTTTTCAAAAAAGAAAAAACAAAAGTAAAAGCTCATAAAACCACGTGCATTTCAGCTTTTTAAACCACAAAAGCCGTGCATACGCTTTATGAAAGACATTTTAAAGTATAAAAGTGCATGAAGCAAAAAACCGTAAGGCCCCCTCGGTGCACTGGCCCCACCCAGGTCCCCCTCCTGGGGAGGCATCACCGTCAAGTCGGCCGTGCAGCCCCCGACCCTTTACCTTGGGGATTGGGGTCCCTGTGCACGCACAACAGTGTGGTTGTTCTTCAAAGACACTACCGGAGTCGTGCGGTACCTCCCACGATCCGCATCGATCAGTCGGCAGCTCGGTCGGGACAATGTGTTACGAACAAACTCCCAAGTTAGTGCCTAGACTCGGGACCTCATTCCTTTTCAGGGCTGCCTCTTATTTCACCGTCCCATGTGACCATAGTTTATCTTACCAACCCCCACCCAGGCCCCAGACGCACCTTAGTTTATTTTCAGCACTTCACTCTTTTGAACTGTTTTCATAAGCTTCCCTATATAAGTCTGGTTTGGGGGATCTGTTTCTGTTGAACAGGGAACTGCTGTCAAACGTGTTTCCTGAAACCCAGTGTCGTCACTTTTTCCTGAAGACTCATGAGTAAAGGTGGCCCAGCAAAGCCCGCCTGCTCCCTTGTTCGTTCGGTGACCCCGCTGAGTGCGCCAGGGGCCAGGTTCGGTGCTGGGCGCTGTGGGCAAAGCAGAAATGGTCTCTTCCTTATGGAAATGACAGTTCATGGAGAGAGGCCCCCCCCCGCCCCGCCTGCTGCTGCCCTGGCTCTGAGGCTTGTTTGCAAGTGGCGGGGGGTTGCGGAGGACACTTTTCATCAGAAGGGGCGGCCTGGAGGGAGCCCGCCTTGACCTGCCTGAGGGCAGCCACCCCGGCAGAGCACAGCCCCTTTGAGGGAGCCAGGCCTGCCGCCCCGCGCCTGTGCCCAGGGCGAGCCTGCGGGGCGGGGCTGCCCCACCTTGTGGGGCAGAAGGGGAAGTGGCAGCTACCCAGCAAGCCAGTGGCACTTGCCTCAGGGAGGCCCCAGGGACGTGGAGACCAACCAGCTGTCATTGTGAAAGTGGGTGGTTTCGCCTTTTCCTGTCTCTTCCCTGGAAGGGACCAGCGGGGTCTGGTGGGGGCATGGCAGCTCCCCGCTGGTGCCTCGCTCAGGGTCCCAGAGGCCCGCGTGGTTCCCAAAGGGCTTCTTGAATGACTTCCCGGGGTGACATGCCATCCAGCGTGGGCCTTTGCAGGGGAGCTGGGGCCCAGGCAGACCCGCAGGGAGGAGGGGAGCCCGGCTGCCCGTTACCCGGAAGCGGGGTGGGGCGGTGACTCACCCAGGGCACGGGGCAGGGCACGCGCTCTCACCTGGACTTGCACCTCGCCCTGCAGCAGCTGGGTGGGGGCGGGCCCCACCCTGTTCCCTCTCACGGCCCTGCCAGCGCTGTCGTCCACGGACCGAGCAACTGTCTAGTGAGCAGCTGGGGCTTGGGGCTTCCTGACCTCCGCCTTAATCCAGCCTAGAAATCTCGGGCGACTGGCTCGGGTGCCCGGAGCGTTGACCGGGGGCCGGGCTTGGGGCCGAATGCCTGCCATGTGTCATTTAATCTTCATGACCACCCCGTGAATGAGTGTCACCGTTCCCTGTTAACAGGCAGGGAAACCTGAGGGACAGGGGGTTTCGTAGCTGCCTGGCCCCTGCCTGTCTCCCAGCCCTTGCCCTCCTGGCTGTGGGAGCTGTCCCCCCACCCCCCAAGCCTGCCAAGCACGCTTGGTCACTTTGCCACGCCTTCTCCCTGCAAGGTCCTTCTCCTGACCAGGATTCCCTTGTCTCCATCCCTGGAAAAACAAGCTGCACTGGGGGACGGAGGGGGAGGAGTTTGGTTCATCTCTACCTCACACAGTGTCTGGCACGTAATAGGTGTTCAGTTAATATTTGCGGAATGAGGAATAGTCCGGACGCTCTCGGCTGTCCTTCCTCCAGGCCCTCCTGCCCTCCCCACGCCCGTTCTGGAGGCCACATCCCGCTCCCCCCAGCCTCTCCTAGCCCCGCACTCTCTCTCCTGTCACACAGTTATGGATAAGACGCTTGTTGGTGCTCATCCGGGTGTGCTTGCCCCTACTAGTGACTTTGAGCTGCCTGAGGATGAGGAGTTAGTAGTTCGCTTTGGCCCCCACTGTCGTTTCTGCCCCGGTGCCTCCTGGTGCCTCCCATGGGCAGGGAGGAGAGTGAACCAGTGAAATACAAGAGCCAAGACCGGAGCCCCGTTTCCACGCATTCGGGCCCTGCTCTTGCCATTGTCCTCCCTCCTGGTTTGAAATCGTGAGTGATGGAACACAGCGACTGTCACCTGCCCCCAACCAGCTTATTCGGAGACTCGGGCAGAAGCTCCCGGAGTGGCTGGCAGTTGTAACAGCTTTGCAGTTTCTTGCAGCAAAGCTCTAAGCGGACCATCACCTGTTCTCTTGAGGGGTTGCTTCCTCCTGGGTTTACTTGTTAATCAGGATGAAACTTGTCCCAGAGCCTGGAACATGGGAGAGAATTCCTTGGTGGCACTGGATCCTTCTCTGCACACTGAGCAGTTCTGGGTGTGGGTTTAAAGAGAAATTGTATTTATTTTTCATTAGTCCTGAAAGTCATACATGTTCAGCGTAGCCAATTGAAGGGATTCAGAAAAGTAGAAGAAACCATGTCTACTCTCCCCACCCACAGACAACCATTTCGGCAGTTTGGCTATTTCCTCCCAGTCAGTCCAGTGTGTATTTTTGCCCTTTTTAGGGGGATTGGACAGCATTTTGGCCACATAACACAGTCAGCTAGACATCTCCCCTTTCCCACTTAACCTTATAAGTATACAAATAAAATATTGTAGTATTGTTAAATATTAAAGTTTTTAACTACATAGTAAATATTAATGTTAAATACATAGTAAATGTTTATTGATATGTATAATTTCATAGTAAAATGTGGGATAAAATACTACAAAACTAATTTTAATGACTATAAAACATTCCATCATATGGGGTACATCACACTTGTTTTAACCTGTTCAGTTGTTTACTGTTTACCTCATCTTACCTCTTCTAATTTCTGTGTGTATGCGTGCGTGTACGCGTGCAAGAAAGAGAGAAACATCTAAAATCCTTTCGGAAAAGACAGGGCATGTTATATATGGTATGCCAGGCATTTAACATCACTCCCTGAGCTTTGCTCAGTGACAGCGTGACAGTGTTGTAGCCAATGGCATGTACCTGACATACGACACTTGCTCATTGGAATTACTCCCTCAAAACTACGCACTTACGGTTGTTTTTAATCTGACATGCTTACAGTGACGCTTGGATGAACATCGTTATACATAATGCTTGTTTATACCTAAGATAATTTTATTAGGGTAGATTCCTAGATTGGGAATTACTGCATTATAAGAATCTGGATCTTTTGAAGTTCCTTGCCATTTATTGTCAAACTCCTTTTCTAAAAGGCCCTGCAGTGTATCCCCTCATTAGCAAGGAGGAAAGTGCATGTCTCGATACATCCTGACAGCAGTTAGGTACATTTTTAATGACCACTAGTTTGTGAGATAAAAGAGGGCATTTGGTAGCTGATTCGCCTCCCAGTCCACACCCCCGGGCTGAGGGTGGAGGAATGTCCGTGGAATACTCTATCTGAGATTTTTGTCTTGCAGCTGACTTTGGTGTGTCTGCCAAGAATCTGAAAACTCTGCAGAAACGAGATTCCTTCATCGGAACGCCTTACTGGTGAGTTGGGAAGCTTCTGGAAATGGAATGGCGGAGGAAACGTCAGATCTCAGGCTCCCCAAGGTGACCTCTGACTGGCACAGAGGAGAGGGGACAGGAGGCCGGGGCTCCCGAGTTGGCCTGCGGGGCCTGAGCGCAGCCTTCCCCACTGACTAGTGCTGTGACCTTGGCTGAGTTGCTTCACACCCCTGTGCCTGTTTCCTGACGTGTAAGATCAAGGACCTTGTAGCCCCCACTTAGTGGGTTATTGTGAGGATTAAATGGGGTGATGCACATAGAGAATGCTCCGTGGATCACACTTTAGCTGGAATTTCAAAAAAAAAAAAAAAGTTCAATTCTTGATGAGTTCAAGTCCAGATTGAGTGCAGGGGCTGGGGCTGTGAAGACAGATAGTCAAGTTCAGTTCCTACCCTCCCGTGAAGCCTCCTGGACTTCTCTAGTCCTTGGTGTTTCCTTTTCCAAAGCTATTACTTAAAAAAAGCAAACAAATCCAAAACTCTTTCGTTCAGCTTCACGCCTAACTACTTTCTGCATTAATCCCCATTATGGAGGTGGGCTCCTAGCTTGCTTGCTTGATTACTCACCCTTTTTCTCTTTCTCTTTCTGCCCTTTTCTACCACTTCCTCCTTTTCTCTCCTATCCCTTCTCTCCGCGCTTTTGTGTTCTTTCCACTGCCCTTCCTGCCCCAGTGTTTCCTGGGCCCCTTCCTCTCTGCCCCCACCCACCCTCCCAGGACTCTGAGTTCTGGATTGTGGCTGCCACCTGGTGGTAGACATCGGGAACTGCAGCCGGCCGCGGCGCTGGAGCCGCTTGGAGGGCGTCTTTCTGTGTGAAGACCGCCATCAGGAAGACAGTGGGATGGACGGGAAGGCAGATCGTGATTCGGGAGTGCCACCAGCCCCTGACGCTGGCCTGTGCTGGTCCGTGACCCCGAGTCTCCGAGGAGTGCCTGGGAGGCCAGGTTCTCAGCCCTCTGTTGTCCCTTGGTTGGTTCAGGATGGCCCCCGAGGTGGTGATGTGTGAGACCATGAAGGACACTCCGTACGACTACAAAGCCGACATCTGGTCCCTGGGCATCACGCTGATTGAGATGGCCCAGATCGAGCCCCCGCACCACGAGCTCAACCCCATGCGGGTCCTGCTCAAGATCGCCAAGTCGGAACCCCCCACGCTGCTCACACCTTCCAAGTGGTAAGGAGCGAGGGCGTGGCCGGCGGGCCCCCGCACCTTTCTGGGCGCCCTGGGCCCTCCTTGCCTCTGTTCTCCCTCTGTGCTCTCCACACGGGCAGCCTGGTGACTCAGAACCCAGGTCCCACTGGCAATAAGCGCCCCAGCGAGCCCAGCAGCCACCTGGCGCAACCTTGCGCTGGGACCTGGGCAGCACCGCTGGGTTTTGCTCTGAGGCCAGAGGCAAGGCCCTGCTCCTCGGACGTCCACGTCCCGCCTGCACGGGGATGTCCGTGATGAGAAGTTCCTCTGGAAGGCCCCGCCGCGTCCACCTTTCAGCCCATGAAGGCACCCTTTGTCCTTTGATGGGCTTGTTTGGGAGGCGCAGGACTCCCGGGAGAGTGGGGCCTGTGACGCGCAGCGTCCCCTCCGCCCCGCTCCGCACTTACCGCCGCCACTGACCTCCCAGGTCTGCGGAGTTCCGGGACTTCCTGAAGACTGCCCTGGATAAGAACCCAGAGACCCGGCCCAGTGCTGCGCAGCTCCTGGAGGTGAGTGGCCCTCTCCCGGGCCCTGTCCCTCCTCTGGAGGCGGGCAGGTGAGTCCGCCTTGACCGCGAAGCTGATGTCTTCCTCACCCAGCCCGGGTGACAGCGTGCGCAGCCGTTCACCCATCCTCCGACGATCCCTTGTGGGGGCTGCAACGCAGGAAGCCCCCAGAGCCCTGCCCTCACGGAGCTGATGGTCTGGTGGGGGCAACAGGGTGGACAAACAGACACATGCATGTGACAGAGGGGACAGGGCTTTGGGGCAAATACCGCAGGCAGGTGGCAGGCCCGGGAGGCATTGCTGTCCTCAGGGCGAGCAGGGAGGCAGGCCGGGGTGGAGGCCAAGGTCTGGGACGTGAGCGTGAGTGGCTCGAGCCTGGAAGAGCCAGGAGGCCCGGGCGTGGGAGCCAAGGTGAGGGCAGGGGGTGGGAGGTGACATTGGGGCGGTGTAGTGTGTCTACCCCCAGGCTCAGTGGTCCACCAAGAGGACACACAGGACTCAGTGCATCATACTCACTCGCCATTGAGACCTGTTACAGCAAAAGGACACAGAGAAAAAGGCATATGGGAGGGAACCAGGTCTAAGCTTCCGGAGTTGCACAGGATGCACGTAGTCCCCCCAGCGCCAAGGTGTGATGTGTGTACAGTGTCTGCCCACTGGGGTGTGCAGCACAGTGATGTGGCATGTGGACTGGCCTTGGAAAGTCCTGGGTTCGAATCCCACCAGCTCTGCCATTTGCTGGCTGCGAGACCGGGGGCGAGCGCCTTCACGTCTTAGACGTGGTTCTGGCTCTGAAATGGGGTTACAGCAAAGTCTGCTTGGCAAGGTGGTTGTGAGGGTTAAGCGAGAAGGTACTCTGAGGACCTTAGCTTAACTGTTCAGCACTGTGTTCACTGAATGCCTGGTGTGTTGAATTATTAAAAAATGGAAGGAAACCAGGTTGCCCAATGGGGGTCTGTCTGTGAGGGGGTCATGAGTGACTTTGAAAGCAGATGTCTGGGGGACCAGAGGCTTTGTCTTCCGGGTATTGTTTGGTGATGCAGCCTCGGAGAGGCTGCGCTGGGCCAGCCCGAGCTGGGGCGGGGTGGGCCTGGCGTCCCTGTCCAGCCAGAGGCTCCAGCCCGCCCGGGGCCAATTGTTTCCTGTAAGGAGGCACCTCCTGGCCCAGTACATCCGGCCTCTGGGACATTCCACCGGGAAGAGACAGCTGTCCTCCGTCCCCACATGGCAACCCCGGAGCCTTGGCCTGAGCCAGGAATTTCCGTTCCGTAGCTGGAAAAATGTCCTGGCAGAGGCTTCTCAGCATGAGACAGAAAGGCTTGCAGAAGAAAGGAGAGATCCTTTGAGATAAAAAAGCGCCTCTCAGGGTGCAGGCCACTGTCGGCTTTTCCTGCGGGCCTGCTCATCTCTGCGCCAGGGAGAGCGCAGCATGTGACCAGCCCCGTCCGGTGAGGACAGCGGCGTGGGGGTTGGGGGCAGAACGCTGGCTGGGGTCACCTGCCTGGGGAGCAGAGGGAGTTCCAGGTCCCAGCGCCCCCTCCAGAGCTGCCCCTGCCCCCACCTGGGCCCTCCTGCCTGCCTGCTTCTGGAAGCTTCTTCCCCGCCCCTGGCATTCCCACTGTCTGCCTCGAGCTGACTGGCTTACGTCCGGCTTGGTTGATGGGTCGTTCATCGACTTGCGCTGATGCTCCTTGGCATCGCATCACAGAGTGGCAGCCCAGGATCTGCCATCAGGGCTGCCCACCCGGAATCTCGCGCTCTGACTCAGTTTCCCCCTCCCCGTGGGATGTGGACGGTGCCCCGTCACAGAATGTGGAGTGAATGAGATTTTCTAGGTGCTGTTTTAAGCATCACAACCGTCAGACATTGGGGGCTCCGTCTGCACATACTGACTTTGTTCCTAAACCCGACTGCTGTGTCACAGTGTCCTTGTCAAGGTCACTAGTGCCTCCCATGTTGCTGGACGTCTTGGTCAGCTCAGGCCTTGGCGCCCGCATCGCTGGGCCAGCAGCCGCCACCTCCACGGCCGGCTCTGGTTGTCCTCGCTGTCAGCGCTGACTTCTGACTCCCAGCTCCTCGCTTTCCTTCTTCCTCCCTGGTCACACCCCAGCCTCCTTCACCTGGCCCCCCGCCCCCACCCCCGTCCCTGCTATCAGCACTCACCTGGCTGATGGCACCCTGTTTGCTGGGACTCCGCCATTCCGCCCACAGCCCAGCCCGCTGCCCCTGCCCCCCAGCCTGCACGCAGCCTCCTTCCGACGTCCCCTCAGCCCCTCAGACTCAACCCATGCACCATGGAGCATCCTTCCCCAGAGGCGCCCCACGGACAGCTCTCCTGTCCCTGTCAGTGGCGACCCCACCCTCCCAGCGGCCAGACCCACACCTTGCAGGCATCCCGAGATACATGAAACACTCCCGCTCTTTCTCGCACACTCCGTGGCCATCCTGCGGAGACCCCCTGTTGTCCCTGCCTTCGGAACGTACTCGAATCTGGCCGCTTCTCACTGCCTGTCTGAGCTGCCACCGTCTCTCGATGGGAGCGTGGCCCTGGCCCGGGGCTCCCTGCCCTGCTTCAATCCATCCTCAGCGCGGCAGCCAGAGCCACCCTTGCAGACTGTCGGCTCCTGTCCCTCCCCGGTCCAAAGCCCCTAATGGCCCATCCCACTTGGACCCCGCAGACCTCCCCTCTCCTTCTCGCCCCTCACTTTGCACAAGCCACCCCGGCCAGCTTGCTGCTCTTCAGACACGTCGGGCACACCCCGCCTCAGGACCATAGCGCTGGCTCCCCAGGTGGCCGGCACCAGTCTTCCCCCCAGACACCTGCATGGCTGTCTCTTTGTCTCTGTCGTGCTCCCCCCGCCCCCATTTAAAACTGCAGACCTGCCCTGGCTGGTGTGGCTCCGTGGGCTGAGCACCAGACTGCGGGCCAAAAAGTCGCTGGTTCGATTCCCAGTCTGGGCACAGGCCTGGGTTACCGCCCTGGCCCCCAGCTGGGGGCTTGCAAGAAGCAATCGATCGATGCATCTCTTACACGTTGATGTTTCTCTCCCTTTCTCCCTCCTTTCCTGTCTCTGTAAAAATAAATAAATAAAATCTTACAAAAAAGAAAAAAAAATTACTTAAAAAAAGAAAAGAAAAAACCCCTGCACACCTGGTGCTGCCCCTACTTCCCACCTTTTAAGTCTTCTTTCCCTGCCCTACTTTTAATTTTTCCATGGCACAGAGCATGGCGGTTTGTAACTTACTAGTTAATTCGTTTTTTATCATCCCACAAGGACATTTTTTCGTTGTTTTTAAGAGAGAGGGGAGAGAGAAACATCAATGTGAGAAAGACAGGTTGATTGGTTGCCTCCTGCATGTGCTCCAACAGGGATCAAACCCACAGCCTAGTATGCGCCGTGACCAAGGATCGAACCTGCAGCCTCTCAGTTTACATTACGACGCTCCAACCAAGCGAGCTACCCAGCCAGGGTGACAGCAGTCCTTGTTTTGTTCACCACGGTGTCCCAAGCATCCAAACAGTGCCTGGATGGAGAAGACCCTCAACAACTATTTGTTACATACATTTCCTTATTTTCACTTAACGGACTTTTAGGTAATCCTTTCTCCATGCCCGGTGCTGCTCTAAATGTTTGGTGTTAAATAATGTAATCGTCATAACTGCCCCGTGAAGCAGGTCCTATTCAGTTCTCCATCCGATGAGAGACTGAAGCACAGAGAGGCTAGGTTGCGTGCACAAGGTCACACAGCCTGTGAGCGACAGAGCTGGGATTCTGACCCGCGTCGTCCAGTTCCACAGCCTGCTCTCCTCACTGCTCTCCGAAGCTGCCTCCGATGAGTGGAGGAGAGAAAGAGGAAGTGAAAGAGGAGGAGCGGGAGGGACGGGATTGCAAGGGCCGGAGGGAGAACTGAAGGGAAGGAGCTGACAGATCCCTGGGGGTTACCGAAAGCTGCTGTGGGCGCGGGGGACTCGCTGGCTGGTGGCTTCCAAGCGCACAGGAGGAAATAGGCTCAGGCTCTTGGAAGGGATGCCTGTGTAGGTGGCCACAGGCGTCCTGGCCAGAGGACAAGAGCCAGCCTGTGTGCTGTGTGACACCTTGCGGCTCCCCATGGAGGCGGCATGGAGCAGCCGGTCTTCTTCCAAAAAGAGCAGGCGCCTGGGCTCCCCTCAGGTCAGAGCCTTCTGCCGGGGTGGCGCGCACTTTCTGGGGACCCGTGTGCCCAGCCCAGTCTGTCCCTGTGCATGCACACAGCGTGTTTCCCACTGGTGCAGCGCCCGGCTGCTGCGCTTTGTCTCACTCGAGAGCCCTGGCAGTTCAAGGGGTGAGGAAATGCCTCTTCTGAACACCCCCTGGGGGTGGTGGAAGGAAGGGCTGGCGGCGATGGGCTGTGCTTTCTGTCCCAGAGCAGGTGACGAAACAGTGTTTGGGGCCTAATCAGCCACAGGAGGGCCTGCCCCACCCGCCTGGTGGCCCTGTTCCCCCCCCCCCCATGGCTCCCCTCCCGCTCCGCGTCCTAGGGACCCTCGGGGCTCCGGGGAGGCGGGAGGCAGATGGGGCAGCCTCAGGAAGGCCAGGCTCCTGGCCCAGCTGAAGAGCCACTCGTTCGGTCAGTGTGTCCTGTGCCCTGATGAAAACCTGGTATTCCCTGAAGCCCATGCCTGCAATAGTCATTTGTGCTACGCGTGCTTCAGCCACTGCGGGAAGTGGCCCGGGGCTTCTTGCCCAAGTTCCCATGTGTGAGCTTGTGTAGTGTGAGGCCTGGGAACGCCTGGGAGCCGGTTCTCGCCCTCTCTTCCAAAAACCTATGCCCCGTGGGGATGCAGGAGGGGACAGGAATGGGGGGCGGGGAGCGCAAAACCCGGTGCCTCCGAGGCTTCTGTGACGGCCACGCCGCGGCCGGAGGTGATGGTGATGGTGGTGAGGCACACGGCGCTGACGGCGCTGATGCCGGTGACGGAGGCGGTGGTGATGGAGCTGATGGAGGTGATGATGGCGACGGTGGTGGCAGCGACGGCGATAGTGGTGGATGTGACGGTGACGATGGCCGTGAGGGAGGGGACAGGGAGGATGATGACGGGGAGGTATTGATGATGGCGATGATGACGTAGACGATAGATAGGTGTCAGGGTTTGAGCTGTAACGCTTAGAACGACCTACTCCTTGCTCCCAGTACACGGATGAGCAAACCGAGGCTCAGACAGGGGAGCGACCGGCCCAGGTTGGCGGTGAAGTGGGATTTTGTCCCAGGCCGGGCGGCTCTTAACTGCTGTCCTCCCTGGCCTCCCGTGGTAGTGAACCCTTACCAGCGGTCCCGCTCCGCCGCCAGACTGACACCTTTGGGCGCCACCTTGAACGCCGCTGCCCTGCTGCGGCCCTCCAGTGGCTCCTGAGACGAGAGTCTCAGCTGCCGGCCAGGGTCCCCTGCAGGCAGCGCCCCGTCCTTCCGCCCGCGGCTCCTCCCCCTCCTCTCCCACAGTTCCAGGCGCCGTCGTCTCAGAGCCTTCGCGGCTGCTGCTCCCTCTGCCCGGAATCCGCTCTGCCCAGACCTCTTCCCTGGCAGGCCGCGTCCCGTCCCTCGGGGTCTCAGCTCAAACGTCGCCTCCCCAGGGACGCTCCTGGGACCACAGACCTAAGTAGCCTCCGCTGCCCCGGCCAGGCCGTTCCAGCTTCCCGCTGTCCTTCTACCACATCTGCAATGACCCTGTGTGTCACTCGGTTACATGCCTGTTGTCTCCCCCTTCGCTCCAAGTTCCCCAGGGCCGGCGCCTTGCCTGTCCCTTGTTCGCCTTATTTCAGCACCTGGCACATCGCAGGCCTCGCCCTGTGCTTGTGGCATGAATCAGCGAATGGGTGGAGACACGGGAAAGGAAAGGAAGGAACGCGGCTCTTCCCATCTTTACTAGCTGGGACTGACTTGAGAAAGTCCCCTGAGTGACGGGCAGGGCCCTTTAAGGTGACAGAGGCTCGTTGCTGTCACGTGTACAGAGTGGGGTGACCCAGCTGAAGGGGGCATTGCCTCGTGGCCCCCCACAAATGAACTGATGTAGATGAACAGACAGATGAAAATGATTTTAGGGGGCCTATCATTTCTGAATGCATTTTCAGGCTGCTAGAAAAATGTATTTTCTTGAGTCATTTGCATACTTCCTTGCAGTTTTGACCCTGTTCCTCTGCTAATACGTTTTCTGACAGTAAAAACGGTGAAATTTCACCAGAGCCTTCGTGTACATTTCAGATGAGCACATTCCAGCACAAAGACAGCCCCCACCCCCAGCATTGCCTCGAAGCCTCCCTGGGCGAGCGTGGGGCGCTGGGGAACCCCTACCTGGTCCGCACCTGGAGCTGGGGAAGAGCCTGGGACAGACGCTCACCTGGGAGGTGTTTGTGGGGTTTAACACCTGCCGAGGCCTTACTAGCGTTGGTGTTTTGCAAGGTCCGTGAAAGGTGTGATATTTCTGTAAGCGCCTCGGCAGGGAACGCACACTGGTCCCCTTCAAACTTTTGCAAGCACACACGTGTCCACCCGAAGACACATACAGGTGTGTTCTTGGCAGATTTAGTCACACTCACCAAAAACCGGAAACAACACAGATGTCCACACACAGCAGGATGAACGGAGGAGCCGATGTATTCGTGTAGGAAAACACTGCTGAGGGACACAGAGGGAGCCGTGTGCCCGGTCACGGGGCACCGAGGGTGGATCTGAGTTTCAGCCGTGGTGTGAGCAAAGCCGACCGCAGAGGGTGACGTGCTGTCGGGTTTTGCTCACGTGAAGTGGTGGGGCGGGCGCAACACGACTGAGCTGGGCGGCCGGGGCGGGGGTGGACCGTGGACCGTGCCTGTCCAGGCCGACGGGAGTGCTCCGTGTCTTGGGTGGTGGATACTGCAGGTCTGTGTAGGTGAAAAAGGTGGAAAAAGCGAGCTTCATGATTTGGGAACTTAATACCTCTTTTAAAGAGAAAACAATGCGCAATCGAACCGCCCCACCTTCAGCCCCTGCTTTGGGCCGAGCGGCACTTCCATGGGCATTGGCTTTCCAGCCGCCATGGCCTCCCTGTGGGTTTGCCATCGTGGTCTCTCCTTCGCAGGGGAGGCACCTGCGGCTCGGAGTGGGGGAGTCACACGCTTGGTGTCACAGAGTCGGGATTTGCCCTCTTTCTGTCACACACAGGGCTCCCCGAGCTTGGCCTAGGTCCCCGGTACCAAGTCCGTGTTGCCCCAGCCTTTGCCTGCCCTCCTCGCCCCCCAGCCCGGAGCAGCTCTAATCCAGGTGTCTTGTCCCCCTCAGCATCCCTTCGTCAGCAGCGTCACCAGTAACAAGGCTCTGCGGGAGCTGGTGGCAGAGGCCAAGGCCGAGGTGATGGAGGAGATTGAAGACGGCCGGGATGAGGCAGAAGAGGAGGACGCCGGGGACGCCACCTCTGTGAGGCCGGAGGGATGGGGGCGGGGGCGGGGCCCATGGCCTTGGCTCTGTGGGAGGGGCCTGGGGAGAGGGAGAGGGAGGGCCTCCTCTCTGCATCTTCCCAGCACAGAGGTCACGGGCTCCCACGCTGTGCACCAGGAGTCTAGGTTTCCACCTGAGATCTGGCAATTTTTAAAAGCAGTATCTGGTTCTTTGCTTCCCAGCCTTTTCTGCGTGTGACTCACATATCAAATGCGCATGTTTTGAGTGCATCGTGGGCAGCCCCACGATCAGAGGCAACAGGCGGGAGGGGGTGGGGGGGGCGCTCCAGCCACCCCAGACCCCACCCCGCTGCCCTGAGGGGCACCCCCCCCACTGGGGACCCACGTCTGGGCACATTTGTAACCCGGTTTGCAGCTTCAGCACTTGGCTGAATTTAAATGTAAATGAAAGCTAACCTTTTTAAATGTAAAAACCATTTGAGCCAAGGGAAACACGTCAGGTGGCTGGGATCGTCTTGAGCGGCTGCGTGTGGGCTGCCGGGCTCGTCTAGTCGTCTGGGCAGAGCCTCCGCCAGGAGGGACATTTGCTGTCCAGACGGTGCCGTGGGTCCAGTGAGGCAGGGCCTGAGCGCTGCTGCAGGCGGACAGGCTCAGACCTGAGTTTTGGACCCTCGCTCTGGGTGTTGAGCAGAGGTGGATTAAAGTTGCTTCTGGAAGCTTCCATACCCAAGGTCAAAAACCAGCAGCCATCAGGACCCAAGGGAATGCTTACAGTGTGAGTCCATTAATACCAACTTTAAAAACAGGCAAACCAACCTACAGCACTTAGACATCCCGGTCAGGACAGCGATGACATCGGCAAGAAGGATGGCCGCGGGCGGGGGGATCTTGGGCCGGCCCTGCCGCCCCGGACCCAGAAGGTGGCACTGTGGGTGCTCACCTCATTCATTGGGCTGGACGTTTTGGTTTTCGCCAGATAAATGGGTGTTCTGTTTTATAATAGCAACACTTCCAATTCTTTCCACCCCCAAAAAGCTCTGAAAATGAAACAAAATAAAACAAAACGTTAGTGGCTGGTAGGTGAAATCTAGCCTCTGGGTAAATTTATTTCGGATTTTATGCAGTTTTGTAACAAAAACTTGACTTAGATGCCATCTAAAAATCAGGAGATGTCATGTAAAAAGCCAGACTTTAGCTTGGCTTGAAAAAGTTGGAAGGTCTGGCCGTAGGGGACCCTTTTCCCACGTCGTGACAGCTGGCTGGAGAGAGGAGCCCGTGCCCCTTTCAGACAGGCAGGGGCTGGCCAGCGGGCCGCAGCTGCCCGCGCCCCTGGGAGGCATGGCAGGTGTTCAGCTGAGCTACGCTTCGGGACAACCAGCAGGTTCTGCCCCTCCAGACAAGCAGTGGTTCGACTGTCGGTCAGGCAGCAGGGCGCTCTGGGGCCTGCGGCTTGCTGCGTCCCCCGACTCTGCCGCCCCGCCGGGTCTGACCTGCAGCTCTGACTGCTTGCTGCCTTGCACATTAGCAGCCTGGCCTTGACTGCCTTTCCTTTCCCCCAGCCTGTGGGGAACCACGCTCCCGACTCTTCTGAGGAGGCCCAGGTGAGCCCCAGCGCTGACAAGGAGCCATCTCTTACCCCGGTGCCACCCAGCCCGCCCGAGGACAGTGCAAACGGGCCCTGCCAGCCCGCTGGGGACAGATCCCTGCCAACCACCAGTCCCCCAGACGAGGCCCCTGGACACGAGAATGGCCTGGTGGTGCCCGTGCCCCTCCGGAAGTCCCGACCGGTGTCTATGGGAGCCAGGATTCAGGTGTCCGAGGAGAAGCAAGCCGCCGAGCAGCGTGAGGACCTTGGTCCGGCAGCCAGCCGGCCTCCGAAGGCGAGCCAGAGCCGCCCCAACAGCAGCGCCCTGGAGACCCTGGGCGGTGAGAAGCTGGCCAACGGCAGCCCGGAGCTCCCCGCCCCAGCCTCTCCTCACCCGTCCAAGAGGGACTCGGACTGCGGCAGCCTGTCCACCTCCGACAGTGTGGACTACGGTGCCTCGCTGTCCGCCGACCTGTCCCTGAACAGGGAGACGGGCTCTCTGTCCATCAAGGTAAGGCCGCCTCTGGCTCTCGGGCTGGGAGCAAGATGTTCCTCTGCCAGGCTGGCGTTTCTGAGAGCAGTTGACGGCCGCCTTCCGTTTCTAAGTGGCTCACAAAGATTGCTCTTTCTTTAATGGGCTTTCAGTTTGACTCGCAGTTTAATCTCCAAAAGATCTGAGCTCCGTCTGGGGTTTAGTCATGTCAAACAGGTGGTTTGGGTTTAAATATCAATTTGGGTTCCCTTGTAAATGGGGTTCGGTTGAAGGCCCTGGTGAAATCCGGGAGAGAGAATTCTGGAAGTGGACGTTCTCTTATTTGTGATCCAGCTGGGGACTGGCAGAGTCAATTAATGGGAGCAGGCTCAAGGCTGTCTCCTGGCTCCAGGGCCTTTCCAGAAGAAGGCACTGTTGTGAGTGACAGCAGCCACTGTGTTTGTGGCTTTGGCACTGCCAAGTGCTTAAAAAAAAAGTGAAGGTGGCCCCATCTTTCGTCACTGTACAGAGGAGCAAACAGGCCTAGGTGGGAAGTGGGGAGCGGCTCAGACCCCACACTCCGGGCTCTGGAACCCAAAGGCCTTTGTGCCTTCCAGTCGGGACCCTGGCCTCCATCTCCTCCTCCTCCTCCTCCTCCTCCTCCTCAGGAGGCTGGCAGGGGCTGACCTCGTTCCCAGCCTGTAATGACAAATCTCGGATGCTCTTGACGTCACTCTTGGTCACTCACTTGACCAGGCCAGTTTACAGAAGTTGCTGTACCGTACTGGTTTTTCCTTTCATTGTTTACTTGAGGAGAAACACGCGATAGAAGTGCGAAAATGTTTGCTAACTGAAAGGGAGCAAGGCTGCCGGGGACACAGTTCGTTTGGGAGCAGAAAGCAGCCAGCACAGGGGTAAATGGCGGCTTTTACTTAGAATTGGCAGCGGGGCTCATCATCTTAGGACAGGAGTCCTGTCTCTTCTCTTCTTAAAAAGACACTAAAAAGAGTGAAACAAAAAAAATTTAAAAGAGAGGCCAACCCACCCCGAGCCAGGAGCCCCCGCCTCCTCGAGCGTGTCGAGAACATGCCTTGCGGGTCATGGCACTGAGTCAGGGAACGGAGCTGCTCTGATAAGAGTCCACTGGCTGCGTTGGCGCTCTGGGCACGACAAGCAGCCTCTGAGGCGGGCGGCCCCGTGACCGGCTTGAATTGAGTCCAGGGACATGTGAGCTGGATGCTGGAGGGAGAGGGGAGCCAGGGGCGAGCTGTTCGGGCCGATGCTGCCTGGAGCCCCTGGGTCTCTCCTGAGCGGGAGTTGGGGGCACAGCAGACTGTGAGGACACAGAGACTTATTGACGGGAACCACCCTGGCCCTCCCCCTCCCCCTTCCCCTTCTCCCCTGCCACCCTCTAGGGTGGGAGGCCCCAGGGTAGCCTTGGAAAGGCAGGGCTGGGCTACACCCGGCAGGGCCTCGGAAGCCACTTGGGAGGTTAGAGAGGGAGCAACGCCGACCCCTCCGGTGAGGGCTCACGGGCCGCCGCCCGAACCCGGGAGAGCTTTCAGGGGCATTGGAACATCTCCGGGGCCCTGGTTATGCTCTGGGAACATGTGAAATGAGTAACTATGCACAGGAAGAGATAAAGACTGTGAATAATCTCCTGGTGCCCCCAGACGGGTGTGGCCTCCAGTGGAGGTCAAGCCAGGGTCAGAGTTGGCTGCCAAATCAGTTGTGAACTTGGCTTTCTGGGCTCTTTGGATTCTGGCCTTATAGACAGAAAGTTGTGGTGTGCGGTACTGACTGTCAGGAATGAATGCCGCGCGCCGAGCACCTGCTGTGAGCCGGGAGCCGCGCCGGGTGCCCGTCCCCCACCTCCCCCGCCGTGTCTCACTGCGCCTCCGTAACCCCCCGGGAGGCAAGCCCTGTTTTCCTCCTCCTCTGACATGGTGAGGAAGCTGAGGCTCAGGACAAGGGACTGGCCCAGGGTCACAGAACCAGTAGGTGACTGAGGATTGGAAATGTCCCATGTGTGAGAGTGTTGGCAGCTGGGTGGCGGAGGGCAGGGGGCAGCGTCTGAAGGCGAAGATCAGGGAGAGGGGATAAGTTCAGACACTCAGACTCCCGGGTCGAGAAGCTTGAAGCAAGAGGACAGTGGGTGTGGACGTCCTCCCTGGTTGTGGGGCTGGGGGGGCAGGGGTCTCTGGGCCTACCCTCCATCACCCCTGGATTCTCAGCGGAGAGGCTGAGCTTTGCCTGGTAATCTTCCCCTGCCAGGATTCGAGGCTACACAATAAAACTCTCAAGAGGACACGCAAGTTCGTGGTGGATGGCGTAGAGGTGAGCATCACCACCTCCAAGATCATCAGCGAGGATGAGAAGAAGGACGAAGAGATGAGATTTCTCAGGCAAGTGGTGCTCACGGGGGGGAGCAGTCGGGGGGGGGGTGGCGCGGCAGGGGTCTTCGGTGAGGGAGCTGTCTGTCTGTCGCATGAAGTGATAGGTCAAAGAGGCAAAAGAAAACTGGTTTTGCCTGAGATCCTGTACTCACCCACCCCTGCATCCCTCCACTCACACATCCACCCACCCACCCACCCACCCACCCATCATCCGTCCATTCACTCACCCATCCACCCACCCCATCCACCCACCCACCCACCCATCATCCGTCCATTCACTCACCCATCCACCCACCCCATCCACCCACCCACCCACCCATCATCCGTCCATTCACTCACCCATCCACCCACCCCATCCACCCACCCACCCACCCATCATCCGTCCATTCACTCACCCATCCACCCACCCCATCCACCCACCCACCCACCCATCATCCGTCCATTCACTCACCCATCCACCCACCCCATCCACCCACCCACCCACCCATCATCCGTCCATTCACTCACCCATCCACCCACCCCATCCACCCACCCACCCACCCATCATCCGTCCATTCACTCACCCATCCACCCACCCCATCCACCCACCCACCCACCCATCATCCGTCCATTCACTCACCCATCCACCCACCCCATCCACCCACCCACCATCCATTATCCGTCCATTCACTCACCCATCCACCAACCCCATCCACCCACCCACCCACCCATCATCCGTCCATTCACTCACCCATCCACCCACCCCATCCACCCACCCACCCACCCATCATCCGTCCATTCACTCACCCATTCACCCACCCCATCTCCACCCACCCACCCATCATCCGTCCATTCACTCACCCATCCACCCACCCCATCCACCCACCCACCCACCCATCATCCGTCCATTCACTCACCCATTCACCAACCCCATCCACCCACCCACCCATCCATTATCCATCCATCCATGTATCTACCCACCCAGCAGGTTGGGGGACATGTTGGTGAGCAGACAGTTGAGGCCGTGGGCTTTGTAGAACTTACACCTAAAGGACCAAGACCCAACACAGAAGATCACCCCCGGGCGCAGTGCACGGGACCCGAGGGTGAGAGGAGCCCCCAGGGCACCGCAGCGCTGGCCTGAGGCCTGTCCGGGCGCCGAGAGGACAGGGCAGGGTGAGGTCCCGGAGTGGGGCCAGCCGTGAGGCCCCTTTGGAAAGCGGGCCCTTCCTGCTGTGGGAGTGTGGGCTGTCGAGGAGGCCCCGCCCAGGACAAGGGCCAGGAAGAGGCGGTCAGACCTAACATATGTTAAGACAAAACCGGTGAAATTGAGGAGGTATCTGTGGGAGGAGGTGCGAGGCAAAGCCATGTGCTAGGAGCCACTTTGTACTTCCCGGGGCTCAGGCCCCTCGACAGCCGTCCCGAGGGAGACCCTGTGCTCACCACTTTGTGAACAAGGAAGCTGTTTCTGGACAGTCACCCTGGTGAGAAGGGGTCAAGCCGTGCTGACCAGGCCTGTCTGCAGAGGATTCTGCCCGGCTTCCGCTGGTCGTGAAGCTTCTGGGGCTGCGGGCTCGGGGCTCAGCCATCGGGAGGCCTTGGGGCCCAGGAGCTCCCTTGCGGCCAGGCCTTTGCAAGGTGAATTCATTTTTAGTGTAGAGAATATTTCTAGAACATCAGTCACATCCCCATTTTTAAAAAGCACCTATCCCAAAGCCACACAGGAGCAGTTTGGCTGCCTTGTGTCACGTGTCCCCTCTAGGAAGCTGCAGACAAGAGGCAGACTTTTCCCTGGGGCAGTTTTGTGTACACACATGCATGCGCGCGCACACACATCTGAGTCATCTATGTGGGTTGGGTCAGTGAGGAGGGAAAGGCAACTGTCAGCGGATGACACCGCCTTCTGTTTGAACGGTCACCTGGGAGGTGACCTGTCTTCCTCAAGCATCAGATCTCCGGGGCTGGCTTCCCATGAGAGACCCCGCTCCGGGTCTCTGGGGGTGAAATCCAGGTTCACCGCTCTCCATGGAGAATCCATGGAGAAACCGCGCCCTCTGGCCTGGCCCTGGCACCGCCGACCGCCCCCCCCGCCCCCCGCCTCCCCAACAGAACAGAGGCGCTGTGTGCCGCTTGGTTCGGGAGGTGAGGCTTGGCCGAGGTGGAGGAGAGGTGCTCGCGAGGAACAGGGCCTTTCCCGTCTGCCAGCCATGGTACCAAGGGCTGAGTGTCCTGTAAGCCCGGCCAGGTGGCCAGGTGGCCAGGCCACGGGGGTGCGGGAGGCGGTGCCTACTCCCCAGCTGGCCCACTGCCCGCGCCACTCCGGGGTCCTAGCACGTCTGGAGGGGTGCGCCATGGGCAGCCCTTTGAACCGCGTGACTGAATAGTCACTCTTCCAGGCTGGGGCTCCAGGTCAGAGTTCTTTCTCTTTTCCCCTAAAGCCGGCGCGGGTTCCTTTCTCCTCATGGAGGGTGCGGGGAGGTCGGGGAGGTAACGGTAGAACCCAGCTCTTTCTGTCGTCCTTTGTCTTTTGGTCAGTTGTTCTGTAAGCCAGTTTCTCTGCAGTCAAGATTTCCGTTTTTTCGTTATCACCCTCAAAATCGCCTCCTGCCTCCTCAAGCCCCAGGGAGCAGAGGCTCAGATGGACGCTTCTTTATGTGGCCGTACAAAGTGTCTCTGGCCGTGCCCAGAGATGGGGCAGCCTTTGGCTCTGCTTCCTCATTATCATTCGAGAAGGCCACCGGGGAGTGTTGGCTGTTGGCAGGGCAGGTACCATCTCATTGAACCTCCAAGAAGCCGCGCTGCAGAGACTCTGCCCCACCTTACAGCGGCAGGAGCAGCGCCTGCCACGACCGAGCGAGGCCCAGGGCGCCGGCTGCAGAGCCGGCGGGACCCGAACAGGGCGCCTCCCTCCTCAGGGTGCGCGTGGCCTCTCCTCGGGTTGCGGCTCCCTGCTCTCAGAGCGGCTGGGCCGGTGGCACGGCGGGGACACCGAGGCGCAGACCGCAGACGCCGGGAGAGGCCGGCACACAGGCTGCCGGGGAGCCCCGATTCCCTCAGGACACCCACGTTCTTTTCACAGCGTTTTAACTTTTTTCTTTTCTGATGATATTAATGAAACGTGTCCGTTTTTAATGGACTTGCTCAGAAAGAGCCACAGTTCACAGTTTGGCGGTTACCCTGCTGGTGTTTTCTGTGAGAACACACATGCAGCCTACAGAATTTTCTATAAAATTAAGGTATATTACGTGGTTTAGGTCAGGTCTTTATTGTGTTTACCCTTGGAATAGGTAGTATGATGTTATGGTTCAAAACTCAAAAAGGAAAAGAGGGTACACAATGAAAAACCTTCCTCCGTCACTTTTCTGCCAGGCATGCAGTCCCCTCCCTGCGTGACTATTTTTTGATATAATCCTCCCAGAAATACTCAGCGTTTAAATAGGAAAGTGACACACACATACACGGGTGCACACACATATGTTGTCTCTTTTTCCACCCAGATGGTGGGGAAGCATCATAGGCTCACTTGCCAACGTGGAGGTCACCCTGCGTCTGTCATAAAGAGCGGCTGCGCTGGTAGATGTTTGTCCACGTAATGAAGTGTCTTCTAAAACTTGATTTTTAATGGTTGTAGAAAATCACATCAGATGGACATATTTTCAGTTAATTAGACCTATACTGCTGGGCATTTAAGTTGATCCCAATTTTGTACTATTATAACTAGCATTGTCATTAATATCCTCATTCACTTCCCTTGGGCACCTAGGAATGCTGCTTTAGAATCACTATCTAGAGGTGGAACTGTTACCTCCAAAGGCATAAACTTATTGCCAAGTTGTCCCCCCGGGAATGTTGTAGCATTTTATACCTCAGCAGGTTACAAAAGTATCAATTTCCCCTGTAATCTTACCTGTTGAGTTAATCAGAATGATATTTCTTTTAAATACACATTTCATATCCATGTGGGTTATGTAAAAATTTCTTTTTTTTTTTTGATGTCTGTTCATGTTCTGTGTTGCTTTTTAAAGCTAGGATATTCCTGTTTCATTGGTTAGTAAGAACACTTTATGTATGAAGATTATTAATGTTTTCTCTGTCCATCGAGGCCAATTGAAGCCTGAGTTCTGGTCCTGTCCCCATCCCGACTAGTGTGAGGCTGCTCCACGTGCTGACCTTTGTGTCCCCAGCTGTGCGCTGTGTGACCTCCAAGGTCCTTTCTGACGGAAGCGGCCACCTCTTTTAACCCTCAGGCGCCAGGAACTCCGAGAGCTCCGGCTGCTCCAGAAGGAAGAGCATCGGAACCAGAACCAGCTGAGCAGGAAGCATGAGCTGCAGCTGGAGCAGACGCATAAACGTTTTGAACAGGAAGTCAACGTGAGTGCGCGCAGGGACGGGCGCCTCCAGCAGCGGCGGCGGGGGGCGCGGCTGCGCGGGGGGAGATGCCCGAGTCCCCTGGTTTCCCGACCTCACCGGGCACTGCCCTGTCGACACAGAAATACATGAAGGTGACGGCGCTCCTCTGAGTCACACAGGAGCGTCTCTAGAACCTGTGTAGAGGATCGTGCAAGCACCTTGCAAGGTGGATGATCTGGTCTTCCTTTTGCATGAGGGAACAGAGACTCAGAAAGGCTAAGTGACTTGTCTCAGGTCATACAGTAAAGAGGTGACAGAACTGGGACATAAGCCCCAGTCTGAGGACACACTCTGGGCTCTCCCTTTCCTGCTTCCCACCTCCCTCCCAGTGACGTATTAAGTGACTTTGCTGAATTCCTCTTCCTGCTCTTTCCAGGCCAAGAAGAAGTTCTTCGACACGGAGCTGGAGAACCTGGAGCGTCAGCAAAAGCAGCAAGTGGAGAAGATGGAGCAAGACCACGCCGTGCGCCGCCGGGAGGAGGCCAAGCGCATCCGCCTAGAGCAGGAGCGGGACTATACCCGGTTCCAGGAGCAGCTCAAGCAGATGAAGAAGGAGGTGAATACGTGCTGGGTGGAGGCAGGGCGGTCTGGGAATACTAGGACCCTTTCGGTTGCAAGCGATCGAAACCATAGCTCAGCCCTCTTTCAGCAGCAGGGAATGTGGGGGAGCTGGTGTCCCGGAAAAGCTCACATCCAGCTGTGTCTGGCTCTACGCACTCTGGCTGCGCTGGGAAGAGCCCCTCCTCCGGTCCCTGGGCCCTGCTTTCCTCTGTGTGGGCTGGGCTCCCCGGCGGACCCTCACCGCGGGGTCTCAGGCAGCTTCCTCTAGACCCTCCAGCTTAGCAACCCCCACTGAAAGAGAGCAGGGGAGAAGGCAGGATGGTGGCCCGGGGGGATTTGAGATGCTGTCACCAGAAGGGGTTGTGGGTGCCGGGTGTGCACACAGACTTGTCCTCTCTGCCTGGTCCTCTCTTCTCCCAGAATAGCAGTCCCTGACTTTGGACCCATGCAACCTTTTCTCTTTACCCCAGTGGTCCCCAACCTTTTTGGCACCAGGGACCAGTTTCATGGAAGACAATTTTTCCACGGACCCCGGGTGCGGGGGATGATTTCGAGATGATTCAAGGGCATTATATTCAAGCTCACCTCCTGCTGTGCGGCCCAGTTCCTAACAGGCCCGGTACTGGTCCACGGCCTGGAGGCTGGGGATCCCTGTTTTTACTTCATTTGGAAGGTGGTGAGGGGGTGACCGAGAAGGAGAGGGGTCCTGAGATGGGGAGGGAGGAGGCATGGCTCTCAGCCTGTGCTGGGGAGGGGCATGTGGGTCCCAAGGCGCAGCCCGCATCTCTCTGGGCCCGCCAGACACCGGGAGGCCTGACTCACGGGCCTCCCCACCCCCTCAAGAGGAAGGAGGGGACAGAGGTGGATGCCCCGAGGGCGGGGCAGACCAATCCGGGCCATTCCCAGTCTGCAGAAGAGAGCTAGTTGGGGAACAGCCTCTGGGGTAGCCCACGGTGGTGGTGGCCTCAGCGCCCGGCTCCCGGGCTCACCGTGGTGGACGTGGCATTTGGTGTCTCCAGGGCCTGTGGGGGCGGGGCTGGGGTGAGACCTGTGAGGCGCTGACCTCAGGAGCACGTTTAAGGGGGCTCCAAAAAACCCAGTGATCAAGGTAAATAGTATTCTAATGCAATGTTTTAAAATAAAAATTCGTGCACAGTATTCATGATGAACAAAATATCAGCTATTTAAAATGAAAACAGGACCCAGCAGGGCCGATAGTACAGTGAGGCCGAGGCCTGTGAATAGAGGGCTAAATCCTGTCCGTGTGTAAAATTTTGATGAGTTTTTAAAATGTCATCTCGCTTAAGCGTTTGGCATTCCCTTCTTTTGTCCATTTCATGCGAGTGGTTGAATTTATTGGCGTAAGGCTATTCACAGTATTCCCTTAGTGTCCTTTTAATAACTGTAGGATCTGTAGTGATGTTCTCTCTTTCATCTTTATGCTGGTAGTTTGTATCCTAGTCTCTTGATCTCCTTCCCCTCTCCCACCTCCCTTTTTCCTTTCTGTCAATCTGGCTAAAGGTTTATTCATTTTATTGACCTTTTTAAGAACCAGCTTTTGGTTTCATTGATTTTCTGTTTTCGGTGTAATGGATTTCTGCTTTTGTATCTGGTTTGTGTTTAAATCGCTCTTCTTTTTATACTTTCCTAATGCCGAAGCTTACACCATGGACTTGAGACTGTCCTTTTCTAATGGGAGCATGTAATGCTGTGTTTCCCTCTAGGCAGCGCCTGACCCTCGTGCCACAAATTTTGATGTTGTGTTTTTATTTTTATTCAATTTCAATTATTATTTAATTCCTCCGCAACTTCCTTTTTGATCTACGGGTTATTTCAAAGTTTGCTTCAAGGTTTAATTTTAAAACGTTTTTGGATTTCCGTATCTTTCTGCTATTGATTTCTAGTTTAATTTCAGTATGACCAAATACCGTGTTTTAAGATTGCAGTTTTTAGGAGTTTGTCTCGATGTGTTTCATGGCCCACGGTGCGGTCTGTGTTAATGAATGTTCCATGCGCACGTGAAAAGGATGTAAGTTCTGTTGTTGGGCGGAGCGTTCCATGAAGGCCAAGGAGGCCCGGCAGATGGAGAGCGGCGCCCAGCGTGCTCCACGGCCTTCCTGACCTTCCATCTGTTTGTTCCGCTGGCTGCGGAGGAGAGAGTGTTAACGTCTCCAACTACAGCTGGGGACTTGTCTATTCCCTTTCCGTTTGTCGGTTTTTGGGTCCTGGTTTTGAAATTCTTTTGTTACTTAAAATCGTCCTTGTTCTTGGTGAACTGACCCGTTCTCTTGTCATTATGTAACGTCTCTTTGCTGCTGGTAATACTCTCTGTTGCTCCGCGGTTTGGAGTCTGCTTTGTCTGACCGCCAGTCCTGCTGTCTGTTGACTAGAAGAGTGTTTCAGTTAAAGATCTTTTCCCGTCCGTTTAATTTAATCTGCCTACATATTTAATGTCGGTTTCTTTGTGCTTTTTTAAAAGATTTTATGTATTCAGAGAGGGGAAGGGAGGGACAGAAACATGGACGTGTGAGAGAAACGTCAATCGTTGCTTTTCACGTGACCCCCGCTGGGGACCTGGCCCGCAACACAGGCACATGCCCTGACAGGGAATTGAACTGGCGACCTTTTGGTTTGCAGGACGGTGCTCAGTCCACTGAGCCACACCAGCCAGGACTAATGTAGTTACCCGCAGACAGCATGTAGTTGGCATTGGTTCCCTGTGTTAATTTCCTCAGGCAGACCCCTCCAAAGTGGCCCACCTCGGCCGGCATCCCCCCAGATTAGCAATTCCAGAGGCCAGAGAGCAGCACGTCCCAGAGAGTTCCAGCGCACGACCTGAAGCTCTCATGGGGCCCAGCAAAGACCATGTGTTCCCCCTGCACCAGTTCCTGAGGTCAGGGCATGGATATGCTGATTGACAGCCTGGATCATACACCCAGCCCAGAGCCCCATGGGCTTGGGGTACCAGCCCGACCTCGCCCCAGGAACCACGGAGGGGCACCTAAAGCAGGCATTCGCCCCCCGAGGCGATGCACCGCCACGGGGTTAAACAAAGACAGCCCCGAGGTAGTATTATGGCTTAACAAAGGGACAGCTTTTTCATGGGGGACTGGTATTTCATGGGGGTGGGCAATTAGGAAAAAGATGTCTAAAAGGGTTGTGCAGGGACAGTAATGAAAGAAAGGGCCGAGGAGCCTGCCCTGCAGGAGACTGAGGTGCTGTCGGCAGAAGGTGGATGGGTACCACGCAGCAGAAACGGGCGCACAGGTGCCGCCTGTCAGGGTGGCTGGCAGGGAGCGGAGTTGGGGGCCAGCGCCTGGGAGGCGTGAGGAGGCACCCTGACCCGGCCGTGCTCTGCTGTCTCGGGTGCAGGTCAAGAACGAGGTGGAGAAGCTCCCCAGGCAGCAGCGGAAGGAGAGCATGAAGCAGAAGATGGAGGAGCATGCGCAGAAAAAGCAGCTTCTTGTGAGTCCCTGTCCCTCCCTCCGGGAGCGGAGGGGCCCGGGAGTCCCAGGTTTGGGACCCTGAATGGTGGCCAGGCCCCCCCCCGCCATCTGTGCCCTGTGCCTTACCCCTCGAATGCCTGTTAGTCTGAATACCTAAATGCCGCCACCCTTTTGTCATCCCCGTCAACACCTCTCCCGTGCAGTCTTCCTTGATTGCCCTTCCCCCAGCCAGAAGTGAGCTCCCCTGTCTCTGGACACTGCAGCCCTTCACAGCCACCTCCCACGAAGCCTTTAGTGCCCCCTGCCTTGTGTTGGGGTTGTTTGTACGTCACATCTCCTTGACCACCCCAGTGCACCCACCTGCCCACTCGGTATCTTCCGGAGCCTCAAAGACATCAAGTCCCCCCTGTCCTGGACCCGGTCCCGTGCTCGTGCTTTGAGGGGGCGCCACCTCCCCTCGGTTGTCAGGCCACAATCCTTGTCGTTCCTGACACCTCCTTTCCCTCTGGTCCTTCATCGCCTCCTGAAGCATGTTTTGTTTGTTTGTTTTATCTCCAAACACCCTCTGGATCCATCACCTTGTGCCTATCCCGGTGACCCGCTGGCCACTGCCATCTTTTGCCTGAACTGCTACAGCCTCCTCCCAGCCAGTCTCCCTGCTTCCTCTCGTTCCTCTGCAGTTCTCTGTCACGCGAGCAAGTGTGGCCATGTCTCCCCCGCCCCCACAGCCCTGTGCCTCGGGAACCTTCCGTGGCTGCCCCGGGTCCACAAGGGAGCGCCAGCCTCCTCACGTGCCTGCGGGACCCTGCGGGCCCGGCCCCTGCCGGCCTGTCCCCGCCTCCGTCCCTCTGCTCCAGCCTCACCAGCCTCTGCGTCCCCGGGGCCCACGCTCGCATTTTCTCCCACTGTGGAGTCCGCACACTCTGTTCCTCTGCCCCCAGACGCGGGGACGGGCACACCCTTTGGCCTGGATTTCCTGCTTCTGGAGACGAATCCTGAGGATTAATCATCACAGGGACTCACTCACACTTAGCCACCAGAGGGTGAAGAGCGGCACTATCTGAGATAGAGAAACCTGGGAACAGCCTGTTAGATGTTGGGTGAATAAGTTAGGAGGTAGCCTTACCATGAAGTATTTTCAGCCATTACACCTCATTGGATAGAATATTACATTATAACATGGAAAGGTCTTGTAAATAATATTTTTAAAATGGTAACTAAGACAGAATGTAAAATTGCCATCTTAGCCAGTTTTCAGGGCGCCGCTCAGCGCGTTAACTGCACGCGCACGGCGCGGCCGCCGCCGTCCGCCCACAGAACTCCCCGGCGTGCAGGGCCGGAGCTCTGTGCCCCGGGTGCACGGACTCCCGGTTCCACGCGGCCCCGGCTACCACCGTTTTACTTCCTCCCGCTACACATGTGACCTCGTACAAGCAGAGTCATACAGTATTTGTTCTTTTGTGACTGGCTTATTTCACTTAACACGATGTCCTTAAGACTCACTTATGTGGTAGCATGTAGAAGAATTTCCCTCCTTTTTAAGGCTGATTAATATTCCGTTGTATTTATGGGCCGCATTTTGTTCACCTGTTCACCTGCCTGCGTTGTTTCTATCCCATGGCTCTGCAACTAATGCTGCTGTGAACACAGGTGCACCGATCTCATGGATCTCTAAAAATAAAACCACAATACCATAAACACACCTAAACAAGTTTAAATATCTCACAATAGTTGCTTAATAACACCATTTGCAGTCAAGTCAGTATTCACATTTTCAGTTGTCTCCTAAATACCATTTTTTAGCAGGGTCCAAAGAAAGCCCAGACACCAAAGGTGGCTGCTGTGTCTCTAAGTGTCTCTCAAATTTCCCTCCCGTATGCTTCCTGAGTTTTCTTTGGGGATCATGCTGACCTTCCTTCTATAATAACAGCAAGAGCTGAGACGCCGATGCCGCGCTAAGAAGAGGTCTGTCCCCTTCCCCGCAGGACCGGGACTTCCTGGCCAAGCAGAAGGAGGACCTGGAGCTGGCCATGAAGAGGATCACGGCTGACAACAGGCGGGAGATCTGTGACAAGGAGCGCGAGTGCCTCACCAGGAAGCAGGAGCTCCTTCGAGGTGGGTGCCCGGGAGCGGGCGGGGTCGCGCTGGCCCGGGATCTGCCAGTGGGCACCCAGCTTTGGGCCAGAAAGCGCTGCTGGGTCGTCTCCACCGTAAAACTCAGCAGATCCATCATGGCGGAACAGGAGGAAAGCTCCGCTGAAGTCGGGAGCGAGGCAGAGATACCAGCTGTCGCCAGCACGTTTGGCGTTATTCCGGAGGCTGGGGGAAGAACAAGGAGGCGACGTGGCGTGGGTGGAAACAGTGAGCGGGATTCCCGGGCAGCAGGGGCGCGCGGGCAGGTCTGAGAGCCTTTTGTAGCAGCTGCCCCGCCCCGGGCGGCTGCTCCGCCAGGCTGGTTTCATGCCTTGATCTCAGCGAGTCCTCACCTTCCCCTCGCGAGGCATGCAAGGCAGGTCCCACCGTTCTCCAGTTTTATAGATGAGGAAGCTGACTTAGCGAGTGACTGTCCTTTGGCCGAGGTTGCAGAGTTAAAGTAGGAAGGTAGGAAGGTAAGAGGGTAGGAAGCGCCTTGAATGCAGACCTCACCTTGAAGCTGAGCTTGTCGCTCTGGTGCGGTGGCGCTTTGACAGGTGTGCACGCAGGCACGTCGCACAGCCCGAGCCCTTCCAGAGACAGCAGTGTGGGCCGCCACCCAGCGGGAGGAGGCCAGGGAGGGGGGACACCTGGGGAGGAAGGGGATCAGAGGCGGTGCGCATGTGCCTGGCTCACGTCACTCAGCTCCCCGGGGGGGCTCCGAAGGAGAGTCTCTGGTGTAGACAGCTCCGAAGGCCAACGGGGCTCTTTTGCAGCCCGGGTTCTGCCTCCTCTGTGGCTGGCAGAGGTTGGGCGCGGTTCATGGGGTGTGCGCAGCAAGCGAGCTGTGAATGGCTGGAAATCTGTTACGCAAACTATAGTTAAAACAGGTGGGTGGCTTCTGTGAAGTAAACCCAGGGCCAGCTAGTCCCTGCTCATTTATAGGACAGGCCACAGCCAGGCTTGTAGGGCCAGGGCAGCTGAGCCGCGGGACCCTCAGGACTCGGTGTGGACCAGCAAAGTGGGGCCCTTGAGTTCCGACATTCTGAACAGAGCCTTGGAGGTTCTGGGAAAGCTATTTCCTTTGTCCCGTGACGTCCCTAAGAACCGTCCTGCCTGTGGGACGGTGGTTCTCTGTTCCTATGTTCCGTGGGGAGGTCCCGGTTTTCACAGGACAGGAGTGCCGGGGAGTAAACTGAGCATTTGCAATGGGCTGAGCGCCACCTGCTCAGTGACTTGCCCAAGGATTGAAAAGACTTCAGTGCTGAAATGCCGTATTTTTGTCCTGGTAACGCACACAAGGACCAGGGGAGGGGTGTCTCACCCATTTCCCGGGGGAAGTAGGGGCACAAGGCCACGCTGTCATTCTCAAGGGGCTTTGGTAGCCCTTCCGTTTGCCTGTTAGGAGGGCAGAGGTGCCATGCAGCGGAATGTAAATGTCCCCAAGGACAACTCTCCCTTCTTGGCGTGGCTGTGCCCATTTGGCGGAGGTGGACGCTGAGGCAGGGGAGGGCTGTTTTTCTCCTCCTCAATCCCAGCGGTGGAGCCGGGCTCCAGCTGAGGTCTCGGATCCCCTGGCGCCAGACTCCGAACACGCCTTGCTGCGGCGCGCCCTCGCCCATGGGTATGACGGCAGTTCCGAGGTTTGGCTCGGTCGGCTCCTCCAGCACAGCCTGAGGTGGTGGCAGCGGTTACGCTGCAAGGGGCCTGGCGCGGGGGCGGTGGGGGGGCGGTGGCGTCCTGGCCCTCAGTGCCTCACCCGGCGGGTGCCCTCCGCAGAGCGGGAGGCTGCGCTGTGGGACATGGAGGAGCAGCACCTGCAGGAGAGGCACCAGCTGGTGAAGCAGCAGCTCAAGGACCAGTACTTCCTCCAGCGGCACGAGCTGGTGCGCAAGCACGAGAAGGTGAGGCCGCGCCCTGCGGGCGCCCCTCGGTGGCCCCCGTGCTCCCGGGGCAGTCAGGCTGGACATGGCAAGGCCCGGGGGGGTCCCGGGGGTGTCTGGCCCTGCTCACGGGGCCAGGACGGGGGAGTTGTGCCAGGAAGGCAAAGGCCCGAGCAGCTCCCTCCCTGACTTGGACCCCCATGAGCGTGTCCCCTGCATGCCACCCCCCCCATCCTTTGTCCTGCCTCTGCCCATTGTCGCTTTCCCGCGGGTTCCTTCAGACTGCTTACAGGGGTGTCCAGCCTTTTGGTGTCTCTGGGCCACACTGGAAGGAGAGTCGTCATCTTGGGCCACACGTTAAATACACAAACACTAACAAAACTGATGAGCAAAAGAAAGATTTTAAGTAAATTGACGATTTTGTGTTGGGCCGCATTCATAGCCATCCTGGGTTGTGGGTGGAACACCCCTTAGGTGTCAGCTTAAACGCCACCTCTGCCCAGAAGCCATCCCTAACCTCCCCAGACCAGGGGAGTCCCCTGCACTGTGTGGCCACAGCACCCTCCATGTTTGTGTAACCGTCTGCCTCGGTCTAGTCCCCGTCGTGGGGACACAGATGACTGAGGTCTGGCTGCACAGCTGGTCTGGGTAGTTCCAGCTCCTCATCAACATGCAATGATGGAAGTCAGCGTGGGGCTGTGACAGCTCTGAATAAGGGTGTCAACCTGGCTAGGAAGTCAGGGCAGGCTTCTCGCAGGAGGCGACACCTGTGCTGAGTTTTGAAATACAAATAAGTTTTGGGTAAAAGAAAGATTCAAATTTATCAAGACTTTCAAAAATATGAATTGATGCCTGTCATCAAAATGATAAACTACCCGTTTTAGTGTGCACTTTGCTTTGAGAGAGGAGCTCATGACGTCATGCCACCGTTGCTTGGATACGAGGGCATTTGGAAGAACCCAAACGTTAATAGCAATACTTTTGTTTTTTAAGATTTATTTATTTTTTAGAGAGGAGGGAAGGGAGGAAGAGAAACATCACTGTGTGGTTGCCTCCTGCACGCCCCCCACTGGGGACCTGGCCTACAATCCAGGCATGTGCCCTGACTGAGAATTGAACTGGTAACCATTTGATTCACAGGCTGGCACTCAATCCACTGAGCCACATCAGCCAGGGCACTGACAATGCTTTTTAAAGTGAGAACAGAATATGATACTTAACAGTAGACACAAAATGATACCGCTTTGCTCTGCTGAGCATTCTGGGCCATGTGGATCCTAGGCTTCTGATTGAGTGTGACAGCCTTTGGCCCCTGATGACACCCTCATGCCTGGAGTGCAGCCGAACTCAGCCCTGGTTGCTGTCGTCATTCCCCCGCCCCCGCCCAGGAGCGGGAACAGATGCAGCGCTACAACCAGCGCATGGTGGAGCAGCTGAAGGTGCGGCAGCAGCAGGAGAAGGCGCGGCTGCCCAAGATCCAGAGGAGCGAGGGCAAGACGCGCATGGCCATGTACAAGAAGAGCCTGCACATCAGCGGGACAGGCAGCGCCTCCGAGCAGCGTGAGAAGATCAAGCAGGTAGGGTCCCCGGTGTACTGGAGTGGGCGCAGGCCCAGGTTTGGTGGGGCTGCACCTTACCTGCTTGGGGAACATAAAATACAAGATGCAGCAGAGGGTCTTGGAAGGAAGTGTACAACCACAACCGCAGCCCGGAAGCCTCCTAAGCCTCACCGTGACCCCTCCCCGTAGGTGAAGGAGGTCCGGCGATACTTGCTCATGCTCTGTTCCCTCCCCCTGTGGTGCTTCTGTCCTGCAGCTGCCTCAGCTGCTAAGCCCCTTCCTCTCATCCACCAAGACCCCACACACATGTCACCAGTGCAACTGAAGGACTTGAGTTGCTTCTGCGACACGCTATCCTTGCGCACATCATAGCACAGTGCCGTGTCCCCACCAGCCTCAAGGGCCGGGGCTGGGTCTCAGCTCAGGGGGAGGACTTAAACTGCGGGGGCAGAGCCTGAGTGGTGTGGGTGCCAGTCCCTCGGATGGGGCCTCCCTGGGACAGGGCCGGGGAGGGCCCGCAGCCCGCCGAGGGCCCCGAGGTACCCACCTTCTCTCTGTTGCAGTTCTCCCAGCAAGAGGAGAAGAGGCAGAAGTCGGAGCGGCTGCAGCAGCAGCAAAAGCATGAGAACCAGATGCGGGACATGCTGGCGCAGTGCGAGAGCAACATGAGCGAGCTGCAGCAGCTGCAGGTACTGACTTGCGCTGCGCCCCATTGCCTCAGTCTCCCCCAAGGCGGTCAGGTCAGGGGCAAAGACTCTACCCACAGGGAAGGCTTCTCGTCTGACAAGCCCAGGGTGGAAGGGCTTCAAACCCAATGTGCCATGTGATGGTGGCCAAAGTATGTCACCCCCCAAGGCAAGTTCCCACATCCCTAGAACAGGCGTGGGGCGGAGGTGGTGAGTCCTATTTTGCAGGATTGGAGTAAGGCTTTGAAAACGAGCTGAGGGTGCCTCACCTGGGGCCTCGCTGCTAGGTTTCTCAGCCACCACTGTGTTTTGGGAAAAGGTGCCCCAATCACCCTAATACCAAAACCAGACACAGGCAACAGAGGAAAACTGCAGACCAGTGTCTCTCGTGAACACAGGTGCACAAATCCTCAACAAAATATTAGCGAATTGAATCCCACAATGTATAAGAAGAGTTATACACTATGACAAGTGGCATTTATCCCAGGCTGGTTCAACCTTTGAAAATCAATTACTGTAATCCGTGACCACAACAGGCTAAAAAAGAAAACTCACATGATTGGATGCAGGAAAAGCATCTGACAAAATCCACCTCTTGTTCATGATGAACACTCTCAGCAAACTAGGAATAGTGGGGAGCTTCCTCGCCTTGGTACAGGACATCTACAAAACACCTCAGCAAATATCCTTAGTGGGGAGAAGCTCAACGCTCCCCCACTAAGGTCAGCAAAAGGTGTCCTGGTGTTGCCAAGCCCCTGGGTGGCTCCTTTCCCTCAGGAGACGCCTCACCTCTAGTTTCCTGGCTCCTGAGTTCGCCCCACCCCAGGAGCCAGCACTGGGAGTCCCCTTGCAGTGGAGCCGGTCACTGTCTTAGCGAGGGATGGGCTGACTCAAGCTTCGTGACCTCAGGGAATTGCTCAGGCTACTAGATCCATCTGGCAAGTTCTGGAGAGCCAGGCAGATGTGGAGGAAACGTAGGCACTGAGACCTGCCGGGGGGGCTTGCCCATTGACACTGTGTGAATTTTGGCCAACCCACTCACCTGCATCTGTTTTCCCACCCTGCCTCATGGGGTTACCCGAGGGTTAACTGGGAAAACCCACACAGGATGCTGGGAGTCCAGGTCCTAGTAGGTCACAGATGCTCAGCGCTGTTATGAGTGTGATTCCTAACTAAACCAGTTGCTAAAACTCCCAGAACCCTTGAGCTTGAAACCCAATAATAAAAATCCTCCCAAAGCAGCACTTTCTGGTCAAGATGGTGAAGTAGGTCAATGTTCGACCCCATCAAATTATAGAAAACTATGATTGAAAACCACCTGAGGATTAGCTGAACAGAAGTCCTAAAACTAAGGATATAAAGAAACCACATCGAGACCGGTAGGATGGGTAGAGACATGGAGCAGGCACGTCCCATCATGGTTTGGCAATTAAGAATCAGAAAGGATATCTCACCTGCAGAGGTCCCTCCTGAGGAGTGAGGGGTCCCAACCCTGCAACACACCCCCCAGCCCAGGGCCCCAGGGTCCCAGTGCTAGAAGAGGAGTATATTATACTCCTGGCATCATAACATCTGGCTGTGAAAGCCAGCGAGGAAGCATCTGAGTGTGACAGAGTGGCTTCTGAATACCAAGAAAAGAAGCAATCCAATTAAAAAATGGGCAGCGGACCTCAATAGACATCACGCTCAAGGGGGCACACAGGTGACCAACATCGCTAATCATCGGGGAAATGCAAATCAAAACCACAATGAAATATAACCTCACACCTGTCAGAATGGTTATCATCGATAAATCGACCGAATAATCGACGGAATAAATTTTGGCCAGGATTTGGGGAAAGGGGAACCTTCGTGCACTGTTGGTGGAATACAAATTGGTACAACCACAATGGGAAAGAGTATTGAGGTTCTTCAAAAAATTAAGACTAAAACTTCCATATGATGAGCAATTGCACTTTTGGGTATTTATTTGGAAGATTCGCAAAACGCCAATTCGAAAAGACACATGTCCCCACGTTCACTGCAACATTATTTACAATATCCAAGAACAGAAGTAACCTAAGTGTCCATCAACAGACCAGAGAATAAAGATGATATGGTACACATATACAATGGATATAAAAAAGAATGAAATCTTTCCGTTTGTGACAACATGGATGGACCTAGAGAGTATTATGCTAAGTGAAATAAGTCAGACCATACCATGTTGTTTTACTTACATGTGCAATCTAAACAAACAAAACAGAAACAAACTCATAATACAGAGAACCCATGGTTGCAAGACAGGAGAGGGGAGGCGTGAAATAGGTGAAGGGACTGAGAAGTGCAAAGGAACAGTTGCCAAAAAAGTCACAGCGACTTACAGCAGAGAAAATATAGTTGTTAATATTCTAATATCTATAGATGGTGTCATGTGGGTTCAAGACTTATGATCACTTTCTAAGTTACATGTCTTATCCCACTACATTGTATGCCTGCAACTAATATAATATTGTTTGTCAACTGTAATTGAAAAAAAATTTTAAATATTTTGAATAATCCTCCTGGGGCTCTACTCTTCCAACCCAACAGGGTGGAAGTCTCTGGATAAAGACACTCTCTCTGCTTTATAAGCTCCTATTTATAAACCATGGGGTGATTCCCCGTGAGGAATCCGGGAGGATTTGGCACGTCTGCCTGTGAGAGCTGTGTAAGTTTTGGGAGGCAGACACTGCGCCTCGGAGCAGGAAGAGTGAAGCCGGCCGAGCCTCAGCCAGGCCCGCGGCCCTCAGCCTTTGTCGCAAAAACCTGTCCTGGCAGAATGATACGCAGAAGACCATGGCATTTATAGAAATGTAACTACGTAGGCATGCCGGTAACCTTAGCTAAGGTGGCTAAATGACAGAACCTTCATTTCCTCACTGTCCTGGAGCCTGAGAGTCCAAGGCCAGCCTGCCTGCGTGGTCGGCACCGGGGAAGAAAGCGCTCCTCCTGGCTCGCAGATGGTGTCCTTCTCACTGTTCTCACGTTTCGGACAGAGAGGGAGAACGAGCAAGCCCTCCGGCCTCTCTCCCTACAAGGTCCTAAGCCCATCAGGAGGGCCCATCCCTGTGACCTCACCTAAACATGCTTCTCTCCCAAAAGCTCCGCTTCAAATACAACCACCCTGAGGATCAGTGCTTCAACATAAGAATTTTGGGGAGACACAATTCAGTGCACAGAGAAAATGGCTAGTGAAAATTGCAAGCAAGCTAAGTGGTCAAAAATAGGGGGATATTTAAGTAAATGTGATGAGTCCATACCATGGGAGATTCTGTAGGCGCTAAAAATGACGATTACGAGAACTGTTATTTCTTTATAGAAGTGTTTACATTATAACGTCAAGTGGGGACGGACGCAGGTTTCAGAACTGCATGCATAGCGTAAGCTAAACAATACCCAGGATGGAGCCTGGCAGGATATATGCCGGCAGCTGACTTTTGGTAGCAGTGGCTTCTGGTGGGTCAGGGCACGTATTCTATTTATTGCTAGTTTCATTGTTTTGTTAAAATGACATGACTGTGTTGAAAATGTAAACAATGCGCAAAGCAGAAAGCTGCAAAGTTACTGTAGATCCCACTACACAGTAAGAAATGTTAACACGAGTATTCTGGAATATTCCCCCATGTACCTCTTGGGGCATTGTGTGTTTACTTGTACGGAGTTTCTACAAACAGGGCTTATAACCAGGGAGAAATAATGAGGGAGCGGTGCTGGCGCCCACGTGGCGACAGCATGAGGGACGTCTCAGCCCTCTGTGTCTCTGCCCTCTGAGGTTCTTACCTGTTCCACCTGCAATTTGTTCCAGAATGAAAAGTGTCACCTCCTGGTAGAGCATGAAACCCAGAAGCTGAAGGCCCTGGACGAGAGCCATAACCAGAACCTGAAGGAATGGCGGGACAAGCTTCGGCCACGCAAAAAGGTAACCGCGTGCGGGCGGCGGGCTCAGCGGTAGGCTCTGCTCCTGCCTCAGGTGTCTGCCGGGGAGGTAGGTACAGATGAGGTGCATGTTTATAGGTTTATTTTAAGGAAGTGGCTCACACAGTGGTAGGGGCTGGTAAGTCTGGAATCTGCAGGGCAGGTCGCGCCAACCCAGGGAGGAGCTGACGTTGCAGTCCTTAGGGCAGACTGGAGGCAGAGCGCCCTTCTCCTTGGGGGCCTCCACTGATTGGACGAGGCCCACGCACGCTCTGGAGGGTAATCAGCTTTACTCCAAGTCCACTGAGTTAATTGTGGGTCACATCTAAACAAGTCCTTCACAATGACATCTAGACTGATGTTTGACTGAACCGCTGAGTACCATGGCCTCATCAGGTTGGCAAATTAATTTAACTATCACAGAGTCTCAGTGTGGTCGCTTGTGGAGACAGAATACTTTACTTTGTTTTCTTTTTTTTTTTTTTTTTTAAGATTTTATTTATTTATTTTTAGAGAGAGGGGAAGGGAGGGAGAAAGAGACGGAGAGAAACATCAACGTGTGGTTGCCTCTCACGTACCCCTAACTGGGAACCTGGCCCGCAACCCAGGCATGTGCCCTGACTGGGACTCGAACCAGCGACCCTTTGCTTCGAGTCCGGTGCTCAGTCCACTGAGCCACACCAGCCAGGGCAGAATACTGTACTTTGTTATGCAAAAAGTCACCAGCCCATAGTACAGGCCAAGGACTGGTCAGGCCAGGGACGTCCGCATTGCCCTGCAGTCTCCTGACCTCTCAGGGGAGAGCACTGCCGCAGCGACCCTTGGCGATGGGGCCTGCAGCCCTGCGGTTTGCCCTGCCATCGTGCATCAGCCTGGCCGCCGTCCGTGTGGCCCAGACCGGAGGCAGCTGCCCACTCAGCTAAGTAAACGGCCTTGGAAGTCCTTGAGCTGAGGCTTCCTCCCTGTGCTAATGGAGCCTCCTGGCTGGAAGCTGGCCAGGGTCCCGGAACTTTCTGTCAGCCAGCGGGCCCATGCTCGTCAGTTTCTGTAACTTCGGCCTGCTGAGACTTTCGATACTTGACACTCGAATCAATGATGCTCCTGCTGACGCAGGGTGACTCTGGCATCAGAAGGAAACGTTAACCTGGCCTCTTAACCTGGAGGTTCTGCATACCTTGGCCCGTTTGGAGGGAGCGAAGTGAATGATGGCGCTGCCTTTGGCAATTGCCTCATAGCCCGGTGGCTCCAGGGGACAACTGGACATGTGTGTGTGTGGGGGGGGGGGGCGGCTGGCCCTGCATCTGCCGCGGGCGGCCGCTGCAGAATTCCCTGTAGACCTGCCCTGTTGTCAGTGACCCGGGTTGCTGCTGCAACACTGATCCAGAGGCGATTCTCATTCGGGAATAAATGTTCTTTAATCCTCCCGCGTGACAGGCAGCAGCCTTGAACTGCTGTCTGTGTACGTACAGACTATCTGGTTGCGTCAGTGAGGTGCTGCTTGGGTCGGAGGTAACACAGAACATGGCCTCAGGCAAGTCAAGTCTTCACTCCTGAACCTTTCTTTTTGGGGCTGTAAAATGTGACTCACATGTAGTTCCGTAAAGCAGGTGTTCATAAACGTCTGCCCAGGGGCCAGATCTGGCCCGCCACCTGTATTTGAAAATAAAGTTTTATTGGAACGCGGCCATGCACATTCATTTACATATTGTCTGTGGTTGATTCTGCACCGCAGCTGCGGGAAAGTCGTAACAGAGACCTTACAGCCTGCAAAGCCAAAGATACTTACAATCTGGCCCTTTACTGAGATAGGGTGGCCACCCCTTCCTTGGGTAACAGAGGAATCATGGTTGGGAGAAGAGAGTAGAATCGGAGGGCACAGGCTCTGGACGGAGGGAGATGTGGGAGGAAGGCGTGGCTCTCCCATTACTACCCGGGAGGCCCAGAGCGAGTTACTGATCCTCTCGGCAGTAGTTAAGAGAATTAAGCCAGGGTCCCTGTAGCAGGGGTCCCAAACTGATGGCCTGTGGGCTCAAATTGGCTTACAGATGTTAAATTTGGCCAATATATAGCAATTTAAATAGCTTTTGAAGGTTGCCAACTAAATTTTACATAAATACCTGGACTTCCAGTTTCTTTTGAACACCCAGGAGCTCTAGCAACACTGGGCCCATCAAACTACGTGACAGCTACCAGATGGCACTGAGAAAGCTGCCCTGGTCAGACACAGTGTGTGCGCGCCCCTCCCCACAGTCCCCGCCCTCCCACGGCCTCCTCGCTCGCTCAGTCACCTGGCTGACTCGCCTGACACTGGGTTTTGTAACCTCAGTTACAGAGGCTTAGACAGCACTACTTTTGTCTCTCTTATATATGTTTGCTTGTCACACTTTGACAGTAATGCATCCGGCAAAGGAGAACTTGAGCCAAGAGTCTGTGTGAATTACCAGAAATTTCAAATCACTCATGTCCAACCACAATGAGGCGTGACTTCAGATACCTTGCCTTCCCTCTCACATGGATGTCCTGTGACAGGAAAAATTGGTCTTATGATTCAGTGTCCTTTCCCCATGTTCCTTTAGAGGTAAAGAGAACGCACTAGAATTTAGTACTGTTGAAGGAACAAGAGCTTAAGGGGAGATTCTGGTAATTAAGCTATTTGTTAAGTAGAGACTATTACAGGGCATCCAAAGAATTGACTTAAAAAAGAGAGAGATAACAGAAGGCTGGCCAAGTCCTGTGAAAATAGACACTTCTGCAGGAAAAAGAAGGAATTCTGGCTGATGATCAAACACCTCTTTATAATGAGGCCATGTCAACTGAACAGCCCTGTGTGCCCAACTTTGCAGACGGTGGACCAGTGTTTCAGAGCGTGAACGCTTACGTTCGACCTAGGGTCACATCTTGACTACGCCCTGAGCTAGCTGAGTGGCTTTGGCCAAGTGACTCAGCTCTCTGAGCCTCCGCTCCCCATCTCTGAGATGGGGAGAACAGCATCTACCTCACGGGGTGAAGCCGAGATGTAACGCACCGAGGCAGTGCCTGATGTGCAGGAACTACTCAGTAGCTATGATCCGTTCGTTTTTCACTCCACCTCACAGCAGGCATGCTGGGTAGGGAGGAATATGGCCATGTTACACACAAGGGGATTGACTCAGAGAGGAAAGGTGGCACGCAGGGCACACAGCTGGTGACGCTGAAGCTGAGTTCTGCCTGGCTGGAACCCTCGAGAAACCCTTCTGCTAGGACCAAGTTTGTCTAGGTCAACCGGCACGGGCCCGAGGGGAGCCCGTGCGGGCCTGGTGAGCTGGGCGCCCCGCTGCATCACCCCGTGTGCTTTAACGACACACAGAACGCCTGTCCGCCACCAGCTTTCAGGACCGGAAGCTCGGGGTGGCGTGACAGCACGTGGATCCTGAACAAAACTCCCGGGGTGATTTCTGCGGGACCGGGTCCTGGTTAGGAACACAGTGTAATGTGACGTTTCTGCTCCCCTGCTATTCAGTCGCCCCTTCCATTTTCTACTGCGGGGTTCTCTCCACTCAATTGGCTGTTCCCAGCCAGCAGATCTGCTTCCTGCCACCTCGTGGATTGGCACTCCCCCAAACTATAGCCCTTGGCTCACTGGAAACTCTTGTATGGCTGTGGCAGGGCGGAGGCGGAGGCGGCGCTCACCTTCTGGGTGACAGGCTCTGGAAAGAAAGGGGAGACCAAGCCACCCAGGCCCTGAGGCCTGGGAGGGACATTCCCAGAAAAGACCTCTCTGCGGGGGGGGGGGCGGGGGGCTCCCGGGGTTGTGAGGCCCGTGTCCTGCGGGACCTGGCTGAGCGCCATCTGTCCTCCCTCCGTCCTAGGCTCTGGAAGAGGATCTGAACCAGAAGAAGCGGGAGCAGGAGATGTTCTTCAAACTGAACGAGGAGGCCGAGTGCTCAGTCCCCGCCACTCCAAACAAGGCCACCAAGTTCTTCCCCTACAGCTCTGCGGATGCTCCCTAACAGCCAGGCGGGGCTGTGGCTGGCAGGTCGGCAGGCTCCCGGGCCCTCTCATTCTCTGTGAACACGTAACTCAGGACCCCCTTCCCTCTTACTTCTGTGCCAGCTTGAATCCAGCCCCTGGCCTCTGCGACCCCGGTGTGCCTGACTTCTCGCTCACTCGTGGAGGGTGAGGTTTTACCGTGCTACCTAATCTTAATATGTTCTCTTTGAACCCCAGGTCCCTTCAAGCTGTCAGTGATTTGGGTCATGGGGGGCAGTGGGTCTAAGGCCCACGAGTGTTCTTTGGCCTCCAGGCCCCTCCTATTTGCCATACCACCAGCCTTGCTGTGGGCACGAAGTGCTCCTGCTGAAGTCGCCGTGGGCTCGTCCATATGTTGTAATTCTTAGTGGCTTTTCAGCCACTCCCTGCAGTCAGCCACTCCCTGCAGTCAGACAACAAGCATGACCGCCAGCTGCTCAGGGGTGCCCTCGTTTCTCCAGTTCCCCCCATGTGCTTTCCCTTTGAGGCCGTGTCTGCAGTGGGGGAGAGCCAGAATCACTTAATCTGCTGGTCTCCAGTGTCCTGTGCCATCTCACGCCACGCTCCCTGCTGCACAGCCACACGCAGAAAGGGCTTATCCCCCCACCCTAGCGCCAGGTGGGTGGGAATCTGCTGCCTGAGCCACTGCTATGGGGCGTGCTGGGTACTGGTGCCAGAGGCACAGGACGGCCCTGGGTGAGCGGCCTGCGACCCCCTTTGGCGCCCACGGGGCACCCTGCGTTCAAGGACAGACTCCTCACCGCAGCCACTTTCACCGGCCGCTCTGTTTCCGTCTCACACTTGCCCAGGGGGTGTGGGACGGCTGTCGCCCTCGGCCCTGTGCCCTCCGTCCTTTGAGCCCAGCTTTGTACTGCAGACAGAGGCTGGAGGTCACTGGGACTTTTGTTCAGGAAACCAAAGCATCAGGGAGAAACATGATGCTTCCTGCCCCTGGAACATGGCTGAGGCAAAAGCGTCCGTAGCTCAAACAGAACCCTGGGGCTTCGGCTCCCTCAGCCGGCCTCCCAGATTCCGATCCCTGAGGCTGCAGAGTGTCAATGACACAATGAAAGCAAATGTTCAAAACGGCATCTGGCCTATTTACAAAGAATACCTTTGTCACCTTGGCTTCTAACTTGAAACAAATGCAAACGAATGGTTTCTTCAGGAAGATACCTAATTTTTAAACAAGAAAAGCGAAGGTGACTTTGAGGGGTCCTGTGGGCACCCTGGGTCTGGGCAGTTTTGCCAGTGACAGAGCAGCTGCCAGACCCGGGAGGACTTTCTCCTTCACTCCTTACGGTGAGGTTAGAAGTTCCGTCTTTCTAAAGCAACTCCCTGGAAGTCTCCCTCGCACTGGCCGTAACCCTGCCCTCCCGGACCTCGCAGAGGGAGGGCAGCCTTTCAGAGGAGAAGGGGCTCAGGGTTCCTGAGTCTCAAAGACGCACCAAAGACGCTCTGGAGGCCGTGGGGAGGAGGGGCCCTCTTAGGTCAGTGAGCGTTTGGCTCGCCTGCTTCAGTATTTGACCCAGATGGGACACTTGTCAGGTATGAACAAATGAAACATGAACCAGTTGTCCCTTTCGAGTCTCTCAGGTACACAGGTGCTGGAAAACGTGAGCCGGCAGCCGTGTAACTAGAGCGGCGACCGGCTAGTTCCGCCAGGGCTGGCCAGCGCCGGCGATGGCCCGGCGGGGCTAATCGGGGCTCTGTGGCAACGCCTTGCCTCTCACCGCCTGCGGTGGGAGGATGAGTGTCCGGTGAAACGCCGGTTTTGCAGCACAGGAGGACTTTGGTCCTTCCCTTGCTGGCTTGTCATTTACATCGGAATCTCGTTGAAGGAGTTGCTGCTTCCCTGCTCAGTGCCGCCTGAGCCCTCCCTGTTCCCCTGTTCTTTCTGGAGGGGGCTGGCTGGGCCTTCCGGCCTCACCATTGAGCCAGCGTGCACGGCCACCACCGAGGGGGCCTGCGTAGCGTTCCTCGCGCCCTGTGCCGATGCTTCCTCCGTAAGGGACAGGTGGAGCTCTTTCAACTGATCACAGAGTAAATATAACTAACTTATATTTTCCCTTTGTGAAGGATATTAGTTATTTTTATGTAGATTCCCAATTTATACAAGACTTTTGTAAAACGTTCTTTGTGAACTGCAAGAATGTAAATGTGCTTCTAATAAAGTAACACGGGAAGAGACTGTGCCTGCGGGTTGTTCTCTTGGGCTGGGGTGGCAGCAGCGCCCACTGGCCCACACTGTCCCGACAGGGATGGGAATGCTGGCTTCTGAGTCCAGGGTCCCTCCCAGGATGCTCCGCAGGTCTGACTTTGAGGTTTCTGTTCTGGAAGATGTTGTGCCTGGCCGTGTGTGCTTGTGCGCTTCCTACAGATGTTTCATGGGGTTCTCACTGAACAACAAACATTCGCCTACTAAAAGTTTTCACGTATTAACTCACTGAATCCTTTCAACAACCCGTAAGGAAGACAGCCTCATTCCTGTTTTCTAAATGAGGAAATGGAAACTCCCGCCGATCAGTTTTGTTGAGAACAAAGTTGGGAACCACCTGACTAGTAAAAGGACTTTTTTTATAGAGTCTCTGGAGAAATCACTTTCTCAGCTTCTGGGAGTATACTAAAAGGTCTTCACCGCGATTTCTTCAGCGAGTATTAATTCCACCGGTGCAGCAGAGAGCCCAATCTGTTCAGTGAATTCTACCTACCTCATTCCCTTCTGGAGGCCCACAGGGAGAGCACGCCCTGCGGCGCCCCTCCCAGCCTCTCAGACTGGGCGACGGGGCACGGACCGTGAAGAGCGTGCGCAGGAATGGTGTTCTGAGCCAGGGCGTCGACTAGCGGGGGCGCCTCCCCTCGGGCCCGGCAGCGCTGCAGACCGTGAATTCCGACGGTCTAAGTTCAAGGCGGAGGGCTGGCTGACCGCGCTGGGCTTCATAAGAACCAGACCGGTGTATTAAGGTGTGTGTGTACTTGGCAGTGTGCCTGCGTGGCTAGGCTGGACTCCATGTCCCACATTCTCCTCCTCTCTGCTTTGGACAGGGGTGGGCTGCAACACCGGTGCCCCTGCGGGGACTTGGAGGGTGGAAGAGAAACTGGAGTCACCCTGTAGCCCAAACACTGTCGTTGGTGGGCTCACTCACTGCCCGGGTGTGAGGAGCCGCTGGGTCTGCCCAGGCCCCGCGGTCCCCAGGGCCGCCTTCTGTGTCTCCCACCCCCGGGCAGGCGTGGGCGTGCAGCTCCGTGACCCAGGCCTCCAGCGTCTGCAGGACATGCAGAGCACCAAGGTCGGGACAATGAGGACCGACACAGGCTCCGGGTGTCCTCATGGACCCCAGTTCAGCTATGCTTGCCCTCCCCTGCTTCCCACCCAGCGCCCCATCTGGATGGCCTGCCCCGTGGACTTTAAGACCCACTATCGCCTACAGAGACAGCAGCTTTACAGAGGTGGCTTAACTAGATTGGCCAGTTAGAGAATGTTGACTCCTTGTAAAAACTTCCTTCACTCGCTTAGTGGTTCTGCTTCTCTGACATGGGAGATAATTTGCTCCTGTGGGGTACAGCAGGGTCCCCAACATCCGGACCGTGAACCGGTACCCGTCGGGCCTGTTAGGAACTGGGCTCCACAGCAGAAGGTGAGCTTGGATGCAACATGCTGGAATCATCCTGAAACCACCCGCTGCCCTCCTGGTCCGTGGAAAAACTGTCTTCCACGAAACTGGTCCCTGGTGCCAAAAAGGCTGGGGACCCCTGGTGTAGTGTATTCCATTCTGACTAATGCAACTTTACTCTCTCACTTGCAAGCATCTTGTTAGATCAGCTTAAAAAGGTTGGGGGGAAATACAAATATTAATTTCAATACATGCTTGCCAAGAAATGATGTTTTTACTTATGTGCTTTATTTTCCTTAAAATCATAGGACTAAAGATTTAACTCATCCAATGTATCAAACCAGCCACTCAAATTAGACTGTCAGAAAGTCTGGCTTTGTTTCTCAGCCCAAATAAATGTGCGAATACGTAGTTTGTGACAGCTTTTTATCTGGATTCTATAGATAAATAAGGCAGGAAGCCTTGTCCTGTGGGTAAAATGGGGCACGGCTATCTTCTATACTTTTCGCCAGCACTCTCTTATGTAAGATTCTCCCTCTAAAGACGTGTGTTCTTTGACGTCTGCTGGAAATTAGTTAAGTCAAAATTTCACCGCAGTATCCTTCTCACTAACCTACCTGAATTCAGAAATCTCATCGTCACACGTGAAAATACATCATTGTGATAATGCCGCAGGTTGGGGCTGGCAAGCAGGAGGCCGCCTGCCGAGGTGCCACTGAACTCACTGGACAGCCAGGCGCCCGTGCGGACGTGTGTGGGTCACAGCTCTGCACACCCCTGCTGCTGTGGGCCGCAGGCAAGGAGGAAAAGAGCGCGTGCCCGATCCGGGAAGGGAAGCCCCTGCCGTGGGCCATGTCCCTCTAGGCTGCTGCGCTGACCAGGTTAGCCGCTGTGCCAGCCGGCAGGGGAGGAACACTTATGGGGTCCTGCTCCAGTATTTCAAAGCACAGAAAAGAGGGGTGGAACCCTGGCTGGGTGGTTAGTGTCCTCCCAATCGGCCAAGGTTGCGGATTCGACCCTGGGTCAGGGCGCACACAGGAATCAGCCAATGAGTGCGTGAAGCGGAACAACAAACTGATGTCTCTCTTCCTTCATCTAAAGTTGATCAATAAAAAATTTTAAAGAAAAAAGAATCAACCAATGAATTTAAACAATTCTGAATTCCGAAACCTATTTGGACCTCATGATTGTGGTGAAGGGATTGCAGACTTGTACCATGTTGTTGTAATTATGTCTTGTAAACCCCAGTTCAGAGGGCTCCGGAAGCCTGGGGACAAGTGCGCCTCCAGGTCCTCTGCCTTTATGACCAAATCCGGGCACCAGCTGGCATTACGCCCGAAGGAGTAAAAAGACCTGCATCCCCAAGCGCTTGCTTGAGAAGAGGGGAGAGCAGAGTGACGTGCCTTGGCACAGTTTGCTTATGTAGCTTGGATAAGATTTCTGTCATAGGTGTGACTCGGTGACTGTCACTCTGAGCTCCTGAAATTTGACCCAAAAACATTAGTATTTTTCCCCTTTAAGGAGGGATTTGGCTTTAATAAAAGGAAAGAAACTGAGTTATCTCCACTACAGTTCCAGTGCCAAGGGCTGCAAACACAAGTACCTGCAAGGGTTGGGCACACCATTTAAATGCGTGAAGCATGCAGACAGGAGACGGCAGGGAGGGCCGGTGACCGCGGAAAGCGAGAGTGCTTTGTGGTTGCTGCTTGTTGCTGCCCTGTGGATCCAATGTGGTCAGAGAGGTTCATTTTTTGAGAGAAGCAGGAAATTCAGAGTTTTAAATGTCAAGCTGTCAAATGTTAAACACAAAAAGATGGTGTGATAAACATACATATTGGGGTATCATTCAGCTTGTGACTACTACCCTTACCCTTGGTGCTAGGTCCTGGGGCAAGTGTGGGGACCTCTGACGTCTTGCTGGGCTGTTACACTGATGTCTCCCAAAGAACCATAACCCTATTCACAACCTTCCTTTCCCACTCTGACTCGGGGCTGGGCCATATGACTTGCCTTGGCCAATGGGACATTGGCAAAGGCTAAAGAAGCATTTGTTCATTGGGGCTCTGTCCTCTTGGAAGCAAGTTATCCTTCAGGAGCTTGACTGATAAGCCATGTGGAAAGGGAGGCCCTAGGGGCTGTTTTGATGAGGTCCTGGCGGCAGTCCCGAGTAATAGGTTACCCTACAGGGGCCCAGCTGAATCCAGTCAACCCATACAATTGTAAAAAATAAAACATTTTAAGCTACTAAGTCTTGGGGGTGTTTTACTATGATGCAATAGGTACTGCAAGAGAGGTCATTTATTCTAACCCATTTGTTTTACTAATGGATGCCCCAAGGCACAGGGAGGGAAAGGGGTCTGATGAAACTCAGGCAGCAATTTAGTGGCAATAACTTTCCAAACCTGTGCACGGTCTTCCTGTTGCTTTTCTTTCAATGCCCTTGTTAGAAAGCACGCGATGAGGACTATGAAACTTCAAACTCTAACTGCAAGGAACTTACAGGGTGTCTTGCATGCATACAAATTACCATAATAACCTGGACCCTAGAAATGGAAAGATTTCTAGCTCATCTACTCCCCTCACTTTACAGGTGCAGAGAATGAAAAAAAAAAAAAAAATCAGGAGAAAGGGAACAGCAGTCTCTGACATTTGGAAGCTGGCCTAGTCCATTAGAGCCAGGCTGTTACATTACTAGATATTCTCTACCTCTTAGCTTGGATTTATATTCTCCTGTTGAGCACAATTTCACAGGACATAAACATCAGACAAGGACATTTTGTAACCATGATCAAGACAAAAACAAGAGCACTCCTTAATTCTGAGCAACAGGTAAAATGTTAACATTGTTTAAACCACGGAAAAACTGTCCAAACATCCCCTAACCTTGCTAATATGAGAGGCTGCTACTTTTTAAAATCCTCACCAGAGGGCATTTTTTCCAAAAATTGTTTTTAGAGAGAGGGAAAGGGGGAGACAGAACCATCAACTGGTTGCCTGCCGTAGGCACCCGGACTGGGGAATAACCCCATAACCCAGGAATGTGCCCTGACCGGGAATCGACTCTGCAACCCTTCGGTTACCAGACGACGCTCCAATCAACTGCACTACACCGGCCAGGGCGGGGCCGCTGCTTTCCCAGTAGCTTCGCCCCCAGTCTAGCACCCCTCCCCTTCCAGGTAAGACTTACTGAGATGCTCAGTCATAGAATTACCCGTTTCCTGGCACCATCACCCGTGATCCAGGCACACCCCCACTTCCTCAAACCCTCCCCCAAGTCACCTAACAACCCTTGCTCAGATGCCCCACTGTTCCTCGTGGCGTGCGTTCTTCCTCCGGTAACAAACCCGACTTGTTCAGCTGTTACTGTGTTCCTGGTGGTCTTTGATTAGAAGACCTGCCCAAGTCTACACGGAGCTTGGTGACAGAGTTCAGAGGAGTCTCCAGGCCTCCGGCCGTGTTCTTTCTTAGCACCCATTACTCTCTTGGTTCATGTTCCCCTGCCGCACCCCCACTAGCACTAAGCTCCCCGAGAACAGAGACGTTTTCTGTGATGTTCAGAGCTGATGGGAGGTTTATACTTTTTGAGCGAGTAAGAGAGGCTCACTATACGCAGGTTCCCTTGCGTCTCTCTGCTCCTTCCAGTTCGTGGTGCAAACAGACGGCCCCGCAGCTTATCTCCATAAACCTCCTTTTCTCCACCTTAATCCCCAAACACCTCACTGGGATGCCGAAGAGGGATACCCGTCAAGGACTCTCTTCCCTTGCCCGAGCTTCTCTCGCGCGCCGGCCTCTCCACACCTGGGCCCAAGACCATCCCCTCCTAAAGCACCTAGAACCCACCTGTCTCCAACATGGGTCCCTACCACCAGGTACCCTTGGACCAGCCGAGCCGCTATCTAGGCGTCTAATGAGCACTGCGGCCACCGACGGCGCATGTGCGGAAATAGGTCGCACACGCAGGGTCTCTGACAAGTGAAGAGTTGCCTCTGAGTTTCCCTTCCTGTCTGAGTCGCCTTGGGCTGCCAGGAAGTCGAGGGAAAGTGGCGGAAAGAGAACGCGAGCCCGGGGTTTTCTGGGACTTGTAGTTGTGGAACTTTCGAGGCTCTACCGGAAGGGAGCCCTTCGTTCTTTAGGTCTGCCCGTCCCGCAATCACTCTCCAATGCTACTTTCGGCTGAGAATTCAGCTTCACGCGGCCAGGAGGGAAAGGCCCGGCTTCGGCGTCTCGCTCCCACAACGCCCTGCGGAGCACGCGGCGCCTGCTGGGAGCTGTAGTCCTCGCTCTGCGTACTGCGTTCGCCGAGGGGGAGGGCGGAGCTGCCGGCGGCCCGGGCGGGCTGGCAGCTAGAGTGGGTGCGAGTACCGCCTCCGCCTCTGCCGCCTCCGCCGTCGCCTCCTCCGCCCGGGCGGTTCGCTGCTGCGCCGGGAGAGCGAGGCGGGGCCGCCGGGGCCGCCATGGAGCCCGACTCGGTGATTGAGGACAAGACCATCGAGCTCATGGTGAGTGCGGCCCGCTGGACCGTCTGTTCTTCTGTCCGTCCGGCCCCGGGCGGGCCTGCCCACTACAGCGTCCGGCGCGAGGCCGGCCCTTGGCCCTTCCCTGCCGTCTCGGCCGGGACTTGGGCCCTCCGCCTTCCCTGGCCTCGGGCCCGGCGTGGTTTCTTTGGATCCCTAGAGATCTCAGGCCGGAGCTGGTCCGGCGCCCCCCTGCCCCTCGGTTCTCCCTCCCCCTGTACAGTCTCCGGGCCCATCTCTCGAGCGACCCTCGCTCGCTAACGCTGTGGCCTTAGCTCACACTCGCTCTAGCATCTCATTCTCCTCTTAGAAGTAGATCTATCTATCTACCTATCTATCTATTTATTTATTTTTCTCCTCTATTTCTTCGGCCAAGGCCTGCACCGCTCTTGCAAGCCCCACTTAGGCCGAGTGAGACGGTGGTGGGAGGGGGTCGGGGGGGGGGATCGGTCCGGGCCTCAGGCCTCCGCGTCCTAGGAGGGGTCTCAGCACCCTCTCCCCCACAACCTGGGGCTGTGTAGATGCCGGGATAGGCCCTGCAAGGGTGGAGGTGGGAAGCTGTGGGGTTTGAGACTGTGACGGATTAGGGGCCCCTTTCCCGGACCCCGGTGATGTCCAGCCTCTGGGACAAAGGGTTTCCTACTGGGCCGAAAGGGATGTTCGCACAGCAAGGCCCTAGGTACTCTGGATTCCATCTCCCAGGAAAGGGAAGCCGTAACTTCACGTTTTCCAGAGCTGCTTTGGGAAATTGGGGAGGAGCGGGGGAGGGGTTGTCCCCATGACTGCCGCCAGTTCTTTCTTCTCAAAAAGGAAAAAATGAAAGAAAAGAAAAGGAGAATCCTAAGCCCCTGGGGAAGCGATCACTCTTCTGTTAGAAACGACGGGTAGCCCGTAGCCCGGCCAGACTTCCTCGGCCCCGCAGAAACCCCCAACCCCTTGCCCCCGTAGGTCGCGGAGCCAGAAGGGGTTTTCAGAAACAGGTCCGTGAGAGATTGGCGAGTAGGATTTGCTAATGGGTGGATGACTGGGTGGGAGAAGTGAAATAGGGCAGCTATTACCTGCCAATTTGAACGTTAGGGAAATCAGACTGGGCTGTGGAGGAAGTCATTGCTCCAGCAAATGGACAAGCCCAGGGTTTCTTCCTGTGGAAACCTCGACAGTTTCTTTGTATCTCTCCTAACAAGGTAACAACTTCTACCCAGGATTGAGAGGAAAGGTGAAAGAATGTACTTGACCTAGCAAAATGTTTTCCTAGCCAGATTTTCTCCAGTGTGAAAATGCTTATTGAGTCAGTGATTCCACTGGGTAGGGTCGGTGACATCAGAGCCACTTCCCCCGTTTAATGCTATAAATAATAAATGGTGACACTGAAAGTCTGTTGGATGGCCGCATGGTTTCCGTGGATGATGGTATCTGGGGGTTGAGATACATGTTTTAAAAATGGAAGTGCAGTAGCATAAATAGGGAGACAGGTTAATATTTGCTGTCCTTCTTCTAATTCACACTTCTCCAGCATTCTTGAGAACTATGGAAAAAAAAAGCTTTAGTAACTAGTTTCTTATGTATGTGTGTGTGTGTGTGTGGGCGCGCGCACGTGCAAGTGTGGTTGTTTTCTAAGGGATACTGTAACTTGTGGATTTTTATTTGATTTTCATTTATTAAGTAATTTTTTTCTTTTCACTAATGTAGCAAGCCTTTGACATTCTGCAACTTTTGTAGATTATTTTAATAAATTATCTTAATTAGCATTACAAATATAGTACATATCTTATGGACGCTCACGATACATGTACTTACAACATAGGAGTACTTCATAATTGAAAAATTGTATCTTGGTACCTCTTTGACTTTGGCTGTTCTGTGCCCCTCTCATTTCTATTCATTTAAAAAATAACTAAATGTCTTTATTTTCAAAAGAAATACAAGAAATACAGTGTGATCTATTTAGTGTGGGTGTATGGTTAAAAAAAAAAAATCTTTGGCCTGAATTTACTGGCTTTCTACCCTTGTAACTTAAAAACATTTTGATTTTACATGTTTGTATTTGTCTATGATCAGAAAAGATATTTCAGCCTTTTAAGGACATTATAAACGGGGACTCTTGGGAAATTTAACAAAGAGTTTAGTAATTATTTAGATCAATTAAAAATGGCTTTTTATATACGGATTTTGATATTCCCTCAAAGGACCTGTTAAGACTCTTAGGCAGCCCTTTTCATAAACATATATGTATTTATTTTAATGTAGTAGGTAGCACAGATACTTAACAACTGATTTAGTAAATCTGGGATTAGATGTAGGAATGATAAAGCCTTAAAATCTAATTGCATGTGGCTTTCTGTATTCACTGCATTTTCATTACAGTGTGCAGAAGTAGGTTAAAAATAATTTTTACAGCCCTGGCTGGGCTGCTCAGTTGATTAGAGCGTTGTCACGATACAGCAAGGCTGCGGGTTTGATCCCCGGCCAGGGGACATACAAGAATCAACCCATGAGTGCATAAATAAGTGGAACAACAAAAATCAATGTTTCTCTCTGTCTCAAAATCAAGAAATTAAAAACTATTTTTTACATTGGTTTCAAAACAACATGATTGAAGGAGGGGAAGGGGTTAAACTGATGGTGTTTCGAAAGCCTAAAGCATGGAATATTTTTAGATTTTTATGAGTCAGATTCAATACTCAAGTATTTGTGATTGTGCTGCCTGTACCAGCTTGGTACTTCATGGTTAACAGGATAACTTCTATTTGGTATTTCAGAGCGTGCTATATTAAAGAGAGGAAACAAGAGTTCTTGGGTGTCTCCAGTTTCTTACTCTTCGACCCTTTACTGTCTTTCATTTTGATTCTTCCTCATTTTTTCTTGCACTTTTTTTAGTTTACTAGGAAATAAAGCTGGTGACAGAGCAATTAAAATTCCCAAAATATAACCCTGTTGTGATTCTTACCGCTGCCTAGGGCTGGATCCACAAAGAGTCCTTCCCCAACAGACCTGCCTCATCGGATTCAGTCTTTAATACAGCCTGTGTACTTTTGATTGAGATAGCTGTGCTTGCAGTTGCTGTTGGTGAATAATTTATCCACCAAATGACTTTTATGACCTTATGTTTGTCCAGTATACACCTTGTTTGTGGGACTGTTTTTCAAACTTCTGGCTTTGGTAAAATCAGCTTCATTATCATTAGTGAGGTTGGAGAGTAGTCACCATTTCCATCTATGCCAAGGTCTTCATGCAGTGTCCGGTGCACTGCCCTGGACTTCGCCGGAAAGAGTGAAAATCGTGCATTGTATATCACATGGTATTTATTAAAGCCTGAGTTAGGATATGGGGCCCTCATTACTAGAAAGCACTCACAGAGCTGCTAATTGGGACAGAAAGTGGCCAATCTTCTGTTAGAAGATGGCAGAACTTGATGTTAAAAGTGTAGGAAAGGTAATTCGGCCTCCTCCACGGGTGTCAACTCGTCCCTCTCCCCACCTTTACAAAATCAAAGGGCAGTTTGTACTCTATTGTTAGCTGTTGAATGACTCCCCTCTTTGCTAAGTGACCTTAAGTGAGCCTTTTCCCTTCTGTGTTATCTCTAAGCGGCCCTGTTACTTGTTGAATGTAGCAATATAGGTAAAGTATATGGGACCTTATTAAGAAGGTGTGATATCAGTGCTATTTTCAGAGCTATTGAAGAAAGGCAGGCCACAAAGCCACAGAGATCAAAGTAACAAGTGAAGCTACTGGAAAAAACTTTTTTTTTTTTGGATTTCCGCCCTCTTCCTATCATTGGCTTCCAAAGTGGAGTAAGCAGGATTGTTTAGTAACTCCTTTATGAAATTGGATGTCACTATCACTTAGCCACATCTGAGTCTAAGCCTGTGCTGATTTACCAGATGCAGATGAAATAGACAAAGGTTTAAGTAGGGTCCAAATGAAATAAATGGGATACATACTTATAGACCTCATTGACTTGCCTCAAGAGGCTATGGCTCATATCTACCAATTTTTTGCCCCAGATTTTGGAGTAGGGTAGCCATCCTTTGAGATTTGACAGGGAGAAACAGGATCCCGCACACAAGTCTTGGCGCCCTTGGCCCCTGCCTGCTGTACCTTCAGCTGGAGAGAGTTGGCCCAGGGCCCCTTTACGCAGGGGTCCTCTGGGTTGTGCTGCCTGAGTCTATGAGTTCTAGAAACAAACTGCTCTGTGCTGGGAGATGCCGAAGGTCCTGAGTTATACTTGATGGTAGTTACACTTTTAAGGGAAAGGAAGTGTTTCAAGTCCTCTAATTCTAATTCCAGCTTCCCTTCTGGCTTTTCTTCCCACATTTCTCACTTTATATTCCAGCCAGAGCACGGAGAGCCCTGGTTCTTCTGATTCCGGTCACGCTGTTTCTTTTGTCAGTGCCGATATGAACTGACCTATGCCCATGTTTTGAAGGCTAATCATATTTTCGCGAAGGACCTAATATAATAGTTGGCTCCCTGGCTAAATTGGCTTAGGTCAGACCTCAGCAATTTTCCCTTTTACCTGTACTGATAAAGTCCTGTCCTCTCAAAACAGTTTAGGTGCCACTTCTTGATGTCCATGTGTATTATGGTGGCAGATACCACTTTGGTTTTATACCTTTAGCGCTGCCTACATGATAATCATTGTCAAATGAAATGAACACACTCTGGCACTTCATGTTTTTCTTGTGGCACTCCACATATTCCAGGCGTGTATTCTAGTTTCCTGTTTGTGTCCCCTGTAAAATATAAACTCCTCATAGTCTTCCCGTTGTAGGTGTTTGGTAAATGTTATGTTAAATTTTTAAATAACATGAGTTATTGCTATCTGCCTGTATCTTAACCCTCCTCTTTTCTGGAAATTCCCACGTACATCACTGATTCTCATAGTAATCTGTTCCTGACTCTTAATAATACTTACATCTTCCCGTGTACCAAAAGCCTGTGATCATGTCTAAGCTTCCCTCCCAGAGGCTGTATCCCATTGTTCTTTGAATCAGTCCTTCATAATGCTTAGCACTTACGTGTGCAATAGATATTTATTGATGTAAATTAACGTTAGGGTTATTTTTCCGTGCTGTGAAGCCTTTTTAAGATTTCCTTTTGACAACCTTAAGACAAGGGTAGAGATGAGTAGAGGAGAAAAGATGGTAAAGGGGAAGAGGCCGGTGGTGTGTGGCACAGGCCTCTGTAGACATTTTAACTGTATTTACAGAGCTCCACATACGTACAGATCGATTTCTGTATATCCCACAGCGTGGCTGATAGCAAAGTATTGAGGAAACCCAGGTTCCTTTTATATCTGTGGATGTGAACTTGCCAAATAGTTGACCAGTGCTGAGAATTCTGCGGCCTTATGGAAGCGGGATTTAGCAAAAAGGCCTGGGCTGTAGAGTGAGGCACGTGATTTTGTGTCCAGGCTCTGTTACTCGCCAGCTGTGTGAGCTTAAGAAAGTTAGCCTTTCTCTGGTACGATTTTTCTTATCTGTAAAGATAAGAAAATGCAGTTATTGCTGCGAGTTGTCAGGAGGACTCGGGGCTGTATGGGCGATATACCGAGCCTGCTTGCCATGCCGACTTTCTCCAAGGGCACGGAGACCCCATTTGGGAAAATGCAGTCAGGATGGACAGTGTGGAGAGGCTGCGATTTCCCCCAAGTTGTGCATGTATTTATTCGTGAAGCTTTACAGAGGCCTAAATTCGGTTGCTTTTAGACAAACCTTTATTCAGGGATCTTTGGGGGAAATGATGACCCTAACACAGAATCAGTATTGTCTCGGAAATCTGGGCAGTACTGTTAAAATCACTAAGAACTAACAGTTAGACATAATTAGAACTTACTCTTAACTAGACAGAACCCACCCAACCCTGTTTTAGGTTTTCCTGGTAGAGACTGGTGATCAGTTGTATTAACACCGAGCATTGTGATTTATGTTTGATAGGTTTAGGATTTCTGACTTCTTATTGTTGTTTTGGCAAAGCTGCTGATTTTGCCCTTTAACAGAATAAGCAGTGAGTATCATGCAAGATTTCCTCCCTGAATTGTATTTGAGTTGTTCATTGAATGAGTTGACAAAGGGGGAAAAAACCTGTTGATCAAGAATGAGCTCGTTCCCCTCGGTTAAGTTTCTGCTGATTGCAGTTGCCTAACAGGAAGTTTGTCTTTGTAGGCAAATGAGAGACAAACCAGGAAGACCTGACAGTCCAGCGGGGTATCTCTAACTGGCTCTTACTATTGTTTTAACGAAATTCAAAGATTACCAAGTTCTGTGTGTGGTGTCAGCAGGAGGCATTTTTAGGAAATTCCCCCTCAGCCTTAGTTAACAAGGAGGACTTCACCGAATTCAGAACTGTGAAGTGGATATAGTGGGACATTAACATGTAAAATGAAAAAACAACAAAAAGTCTCTCTGAGTAGAGAGCTGTGCATACAGAAGTATAATGAATATAGGAAACCATTCTCTAATAGCAAGCTTCTGATCCACAGAAGGAAAAGAAAAACTAAGTGAGAGCTGTACTACTGAGAAAAAAGGAACTTGAGAAGTTTTTAATTTTTTTGAGTTACACTGAGAACACTTAAGCACCTACAAGAACTAACAATCAAATATATTTTGGTTCTGTGAAATGATCACTTTGGGAGACTCACAGAGAAAGGGACCCAGAACAGGAAGAGTTCGGCCTCGGTCCCCCGGGCCGGCATCTGCCCACCTCTCCGTCCCCAGCGTGAGGCCTTCCACCGGCTAGGTTTTCAGTCCGTGTCAATTCGAAGGGAAGAGGGGACAATGAACTCTCCAGCACAGGGAAGAGGCCTGGCAATTCAGGAGGTTCGGAAATGGTGCGTTAGTCAAACTGTTATGGTTGTGTTTTGCAGGAACCGTTCGGCATTTTCCTTACAGCGGTAGGTTATGCTTTGGAAAGCGGAGTCTGTGGCCTTGGTAATTAGCCACTAGACATAGCTCGCCATGGCTGCTTTTATCAGGGTTGCATTTCTAGTTTATTCTAAGGCCCCAGAGTAATGTCACTTAACAGGGGATATGTGAGCACTAATTCTTTGCTTGAGATTTTACTTACGTGATCTCTTTTAAGTTTTGGGTTTTAAAATATTCCCATCTGATTGTTATGGAGAGGTTGATCGTGGATCGGTATTTCATTCACTTTGGCTGCTCTGCCTATACCTTGAAAAATCAGAGCATCTTAAGTCATTGCCTATGATTTATTAACAAATCTTAGAACATAAAAAGTCCTCAGTTTCAACTAGATTTGAGGTCGTCCATCAGAGACACACACTTGGCTTATAAAACCCAGAAACTAGTTGGGGAACATTACACTGGGTTTTGTTTTAACATTAACATTGTAGGCCATAGACTGCTTCCCTGGCTCTTTGTTAATGAAGTGCTTTTTTAAGTGGCAAGATCTAGGGAGTTAGCTGTTTGAGGGCGCCTACCGGGCTCAGTGGTCTTTTAATTCAGCTGGACTGAAACCTTTACTCTTATGTTCGTCTTTCTGTCTTTCTTTCTTTCTTTCTTTTTCCATCGATGTTGATTAACGTAGGGACCTTTGAGAGTAAAGCTTGGTCTCTTCTGCCGCGGAGCCTCGGCCCTTTTGAGCCTTAGACTTGGGTGCAGCTGTGCCCCGGGAAGAGGTCCGGGGCTGTACCACCTGGGAGACGTGGGGCTTGGGCGAGTTACTTCCTCTCCCCGTTTTTGAGAATCGCGCGAGCCATGACTGGAAAGGGCCTGGCCCATTACTAGCCGTTCAGCAAAGGCAGGCCTTGCGATCACTGCAGGAGTACTTCTGCAGTAGCGTGGCAATTGAGGAAGTAAAAAATGTCTGTGCAAGCAAGTTCACAGTCTTTGACTTTTAAGTTTTTATCTGTGTCATTCACAAAGGGTTGTGAAAAGGGTTGAATGCCCTTTTCTCTCTCCCTTAGAGTTTGTTTGGAATATCCAATCGAACAGAAAAGTTGGTACAGTAGCGAATGGATTTTCATATAATGCGGATTGGGCTTATGTTTTTAAAGGTGTCATCTAGTAAATTATTTATTAGTGTTGTTTATTATTTTCCTTAGTTTACTCAGTGATTGGCCATTGTGGGGATTGGCTTTTATTGAATCAGAAGCACACTCTAAAATTACGCTGTGTGTTCTAGAGTGTCTGTACTTCAGCTGAGGGAAGATTTGGGTAGTGTGCAGATGTGATGCCTTAAATGTAGCAAACCAAAAGACTTCTTGTCAGCTGCTTAAATAAGTATCTTTACCGAGTGGTATGTGAGCCCCCTATTCTCATGAGTTTTCGCTGACCACCTCTTTGTAAAGGTGGAGGAGCTGTCTTAGAAAATGCCTTAAGCAAGTGCGTTGGTCTGGGACAATTTATTTGGATAATAGTGTAAGCTTTTAGCTGTTCTCATTTGGAAGTTGCATGTTATTTATCATAGCCAACATTAACATTAGGGATGTAAGCCTTTGCCACGTAGCATTTCTTACCCTTCTCTCAGCACAGAGGCGAGGGATGCTGCTGCGGACCTTCCGTGCCAGGCAGCGTCCTCGGGGGCTGCGGCTGTTGTTCCGTGCCTCAGATCCACCACTCCACTGACCCCGCCTTCCATTTCTCGGTGGCTGTCCTTTGCCACTGGTGCCATGGTGGGTGTATGGATTGCTTTCTGTCTTTCAACAGTTACCGAAGTGCATGTTTGGGATTTTGTTGAAGAAAGCTGGATACAGTAAACGGAAAGAATCTTGGAAGCTGCTTGACTGCTGTCTTTTCTCAGACTAGTCTGAGAGGGAACCCCCATTCATTCTGGATTGGTGGATCTGAAGTACAAAATATTTCCCAGGTAAGCGATTACCCTGTATTGCTTTGTTTTGTGGAACTCAACTTTCTGAAAGAAACTTAAAAACAATTTTTTTTTGCTTTAGTGTCATGTTTGGATGTGGACTCCTGAAGGTGCACGTGACGTGGCGGAGGTGCTAGTAAAACCTCTGTTGCAGTGTGAGAAGTGCAGTTATTTTTATTATAGGCTTGAAGGGTTTATGTTTTGTTTGGGGAATAGCTTGTAAAATAGGGAAAACAAAGGATAACTTTGAGGACTTATCTCATGATTTATAGTTAATACCTCGTCAAAGTAATTTTTGTAGTTACTGTTTAAAGTAGTGGCCTTTCGTTCTCAGGACTCTTGGAAAGTCTTAAAAAACAGCTGTTTAGTGAGCATCTGCTAAGGGCCAGGTACTTGGTGGGCTCTACGTCTATTTCTGATTCAGCGGGCACACGCTGTACCTGTGTTTTACAGAGAGTGACGTGGAGCTCGTAAGCACTGAGTGCACGTTGCCCAGGGTCACAGAGCAGGGAGATGGCAGAGCCAAGCTTTAAGCTTGGGACCGTGTGTGTACGTCGACTTTTGGGTTTTCAGGACTGCCTGTCTGCAAGAGCAAGTTGCGGTGTTTTACAACAGACTTCTTCCGGGAGAACCCACGGTAGATCGTTGTGTAGCAAGGTAGCTGTATCTGGTGCACTCCCAACTTACTGAGAAAAGTAGATGATCTTCAGTCAGTTCTCTGAGCAAACCCAAAGGTTACTTAGGGAGTATAAAAGAGGTGATGAATTTAAAGGTCAAAACGTTCTACACAGGGAAGTATCGTTTGGTCTAGTGAGCTCAAAGTTGTATTTTTTCAGTTCCTCCTTCATTTTTACTGGTTATTTAAATAGCTCCGAAGCTTATTATCATGCAGACTTCTTTTGACCTCTGTCTGGTTAGTCAGTCTTACAAGTAGGACATCATCACGCAGCTCTCTTGAAAATGTGACTTCTTTCAGTATTTAATATTCTCTCCAGATTACTCATTCTTTTTAGTCTTTAAAAAATTCTTTTTATCATAGACTGATACTTCGTGACTTTTGTTTAGTGTAATTCCTTTATGTTTGCTAACAAGGCTCCCAGGTGAGCATTTTCAGCACTTGTCCTCTAAAGAGATGTCAGGATGGCGGCGGTGGTAGAGATAATAGCAGTCAGTGGTCACTGGGCACAGACTCTGTATTGAGCACAGTCCTAGGCACTTTCTATTCTAAACTCATTTTCCTAGTAACCCATGAGAGGTAGGTAGGTACATACCATTATTTCTATGTATTGATGAGGAAATGGAAGCATAGAATAGTTAAATAATATGTTCAAGGTCACACATCTAGTAAGAGACAAGGGCGAGATAGGCTTCCAGGCAGTCTGGCGTCAGAGAATGTGCTTCTGACCTCTGTGCCACCTGCTTCGAGTTTAGGGCATCACCCAGCGGTATAAGGAGGGGCACAAATCCTGAAGACTAACCTGTGCATTCTGATTGGAAGAAATCATGGCAGGGGACCAATGGCTGTTGAGTATCTCTTATCTTCTGTAGAAACAGCCTTGCTCTCGGAATCTGTGAGCCATCCAGGACTCTGTCTGTCCGGTTGGTTTCCAGGAGGACTCGCATAGGGTTGCTGAAGGTCACCGTCCAGAGCAGTGCTGTCCCGCAGAGCTTTCTGTGGCGATGGAAGTGTTCAGTGTCTGCGCTGTCCCATACGGTGGCCACTCGCCGGCCGCAGTTGGCCATTTGGAAATGTGTTTCTGTAAGTGAGGAACTGAATTTTTCATTTTAATTTACATGCACATAGCCAGACATACAGTTTTAGAATTTGTCTTTGTCCCAGGGCTGGCCCTTGGTTAGAGCCCCTAGAAATCTGATCTGGTCAGCACGCTCAAGCGCCTCTTGTCCCGGGGTTGGACTCGCATCAGCCATCTGTGCAGGACTGATGCGTGAAGCCAGAATCCCAGTGTATTATTTTATAATATGTACTTGTTGTCATGAGTAATAGAAGCTTTTCTGATAAGCAGGTTTTCTTACTTGGTTGTCATTAATATGCCAGTTTAATTTTTTCAAGTAAGAAAGCTGAGACTCAAGCCGATTGACTGGCACATTCTCTTCATGTAGGTAGACTTCGCCTGCCACGTCAGGCTCGTTAGCGTGGACTCAGCCAGGGAAGTGAGGTGTTTGCCGGACCTGGGCCGAGGCAGCCTCCCGCAGCTTACTTTGTGGGTGGACGGTTTTTCCTTAAGGCAGAACCTCTTCTGCTTGCTTTCACTTCCCAAATCCTTTCCCGATGAGGCATTCCTTTTTTAGACGTGTTAGTAAATTCAGCTTGAGTGCACTCTTGTAGGTCTGGGAAGCCCTTTGTTCTCCTTAAGGTGACTTTGTCACTGCCATGCTCCATTTTGTGTACATTTTTGACTCTAAGGAGGCAGTTGAATTTTCCTGGCTTCCCTGTGACCTCTTTCTATTAAAACGCACACAATAGCTTATTTAATTCGGTTTTCCAGCGTGGGTTAGAATAGGAAGACACGCATAAAAAATACACCTGGTGATGCGTTCCCTGAGCATTACACATGTTACTCACTGAGCTTGTTTTTAGCTTACTGTGTCATTACTGTGGGACTTATTCTCGCCTCTGTTTTTAAAGGATTAATAGAAAATGTAACATAACTAAATATATTTGTATTTGGCTGTTACCTTCTCAGGTGTGTGCAAGGGGGACTGAAGAGACCGAGGCAGGAAGACCAGTTAGTTCAAGAGCCAGCGATGAAGGCAAATGAGGCGTTGACAGTGGGAGGGATGCGGGGGGAGGGGGCTGAGAGCGATGGAGGGGTGGGGTCTGCAGAGCAGGGGCTGTTTGTAGGAGGGGGCACAGATGCCCTTCAGCATGAGGCTAGATTTTGGCTTGGGCACCAGGCTGGATGTTTTTCTCTTTCCCAAGACGTGGAATACCAGAGGGGCAGATTGGGGGTTGGCAGTTGAGAAAGAATGAGTTTTCAGTTTATCATGAATTTGAGTTGCCCAGTGGCCGACTCCTCTAAGAGCGGAAGTGTCCAGTAGGAATAATAATCTGGAGTCACCAGAGAGAGCAGGGACAGGAAGGCTTGGGAGTTTTTATGTAGCCTCCGTGGCAGCCAGCCTTAGCTGGAGTTGGAAGGTTACTCAGTGTACGGATTGAGGAGTCTGCATATCGGCGTACGGGGTCGCCAGCAGAAAGCAGTGAGCCGCAGCTCAGGTCGTGTGACCTTGCGAGATCCTGTGTGATGGTGATGAAGAACTTAGAGCTCTTTTTTTCCATCTTGGTCTGGGAATTCTGTCCAACCTGTTCCCAGTCAGCACGTTAGCCCGTCACGCTTGGGTTGTGTTTTCTTTTCCACTGTGGTGGTTTGTTTAATTAGTGGAGGTACCATTTTTTGAAGTGGGGTTTTTTTTTGTATTTTAAAAAATTGTTCAATTACAGTTGTCCCCGTTTCCCAACCCCCTCATCACGCTCCTCTGCCCTACTGAAGTGTTTTTTAAGATATTCCACGTTGTCACTGTACATCTTATGTACATTTATGCAAATTCAATTCTATGCATCTGGTAACAAAAACAAGGGAAAAATATCCTAAACAGTGAAGGTTGTGAATTACGTGTGAGGTAGAAATGGAAACCTGCTCTCCTCCCGGCTGGTTCCCGAAGGCTTCTGATCTAGCTGTGACGAGTGTGAGTATGGTATTTTAAAGACTGACATTTGTAACGTCACATTAGGTGTAAGTGCAAGTCAGATATTTTATCCACTAGTCATTTGAAGAAACAGTGAACTATTCATGTGCTGGAGTGAAAATTAGCTGTGTTGGAATTACTGAGATGGTATGTTGGTCCAGTGCGGCATATATTTAAGGGATTTTTAAGGCAAATTTTTACTATGTGCTATTTTCACCGTATGCACTGACGTCAGCTCCTAATTCCCAGGTGAGCTGTGACTCCACTGTAATTAGGTTTTGGTAGTAAAAGCATGGAGATAATGAAGAGTTCATTACAGCTACAGCCAATCAATACTTAACGAAAAATATTTTGAATGCATTATATACATCTGTGGTACAGAATTCATAAGGTACAAAAAGAAGTACACAGAAGATAAACTCTGCCATTTCTTCTCTGTGGTTCCAGCTGCTCAACATCATTACTCTGAACCTTGATTTTCTTAAAATGAAACATATGACATGGTCATCTTTCATATCAGTTCCCAAAGAGCTCTCAGATTTTTTGAATAGATTTAAAAATTTAAAAGATGCATGCTGATTTATTGTTTGCACTATAATTTGTGAAATCTGTCTGGACAGATGCACCCATGTATAGGTTATTTCCCGTCTCTTTGTTCTTACACATAATTCTGTAAAGAATAACTTAGTGTGTATGTCATGCCACGTGGAGGAGTGAGCAGGACAGGTTCCTACCCGGAAGCCTCGCTGGGTTAGCGCTTTCGGAGATATGACAGACAGCACCACGTTGCCCTCCAGTCACATTGCGACAGTTTCTACTGTCGCGGCCTTTGCCTGAGAGCACTCTTACATCCTGACACCCTCGTGGTGTTTTGTGGATTTTAAGCTGATTGCTTTTTTAATTGGTCTTCTCTTTTATCCCCCATAACTTTTTTTTATTAAAAATCTCATATATATTGAACAGTTGGGGGAAAAAACCAGTGCAACGAATCTTATGTACCCTCCACTGAGATTCAACAATTGCTAACATTTTTGCCATATTTGGATCATTTCTCTTCTCCGCCAAGTCCCTCCTTTCCTCCTCTTTCCTCTCCACTCCCCCCTCCCCTCCCCTCCCCTCTTTCTCCTCTTCCTCCCTCCTTCCTTCCCTCCTCTTACTCCCATCTTGCCTCTCTCTTCTTCCTCTCCTATGTTTCTCTCTCCAGATACATACTCTTTTTTGTTGTCAAAAATTTGAAAGTAAGTTGAAAGTATGATACTTTACCCTCTGAACATTTCAGCATGTATCTCCTAAGA